TAGTTTTATATGGTAATATAATATTGAATATTGCAATCTCTTTCTATATACTTTTATTGATGATAGGTTATGATCTTCAACTTCGCATATTCTAATGAAAGATAATATAAATATAAGCTTAGTTATTAATTAAAATATTTATAAGATGAATTCTCATTTATAAATGAAAAGAGAGCACTTTATGGTTTAAATACGAAAATAAGCTCGAGAAGAGATCTTTTCGAAGAAAAGACATACTAGTCTGATGCAAGATGGAGATCTTCTTGAAAAATGCAATCCTGATGAAATAATTAATTTTATATATCAGACTTATTTGGAGTAAGATTTTAAACATTTGGCAAAACTGTTAAAATAATACAATTAGAATTATTTAAAATTATTGTAGTAAGAAAACTAAAATGATATGGTAATTTTGAATGAATTTATCAGTCATTTTAGTACTAATCTTGAAGGTTTAAAATTATTTTTGGACATAATTCGGATGAGTGACATTTCATTTGAATTAAATTTGACTTCAGAACGGTTAATGTGTATTTAACAAGTATTAGTAATCTTGATCAATTTTTCATATTTGGATCGTAAGGATATTATTGAGAATTTATTGAAAAATGATTTGATGAATATTCTTTTGAAAGGTTTGATAGGCAGAATAGTATAGCCTGACAAAGTTCAGATTCATTTTGATAAATGGTGTGAGATTATTGAAAGTGTAATGAATCTTTACTATGAATTTTCAGATTTGTCTTATTTTTATTAATATCTAATTTGAATTGGATCATAAAATGGCTTTAGTATTTAGAGAGGAAATATTAAAGTCACAATTATTTAGAATATGGTCGAAATTATATACAAAAAATCCCATAGCAAAGACATGGAAGGCTATTCTACTTTTAGAGTGTAAATTATTTGAATCAAATCAGATTGATCTGATTGATATTCCTCATTATAATGTATTATTTTTAATCATAATATATATAGTTTAATTGCATAATTTCATAATGTACATTTTTAATTGACAAAGTTTAAATAGATGAAAGTCTTTACAGTAGAGTATTGGAGATCTTATAAAAGATGTCTGAATTTAAAATTACATCTGCTCTAACCTTAACTTTAAGCAAATTCATTTGGGAGAAGATTTTGAAATAGAATCTATTTCCCAGTAAGGTTTTTTCAATATTTACTAATTTCCTTGCAGAAAAAGATGATGATCATTATATTCTTTAATACTTGATTGATATTGGATTGATTGAATAGATGATTAATTCTATGTAAAATTTGGGAGATGAATTTTTAATGGAAAAAATTTATAAATGTCTTAATAATATCCTTTTTTATCCTGAAGCTTTTGTTGCTGAAAAAACAATAACAGTTTTCTTACCATTCCTTCATAATTACTTTAATCAATATTCTATTGTCAAATAAGAAATCTGTGTAGAATACTTGTATGTATTGTTAAATCTTACAAATTATCAACACTTATCAGATTATCATTTGAATGAAATCTTAATAAATTAAGATTGTTTAAAATACGTTAGTGAAATGTAAAGTTTTTTTTTAATTTTTCATTAGGTTACACTCCTGTAGTAATTTAACAAAATTAATATCAGAATTGTTTACTAATTTTTAAAAATTGCCAGAACAATTTAAATTAGTGATATTATAAAAGGTGGATACATATGACTTTATAGAGATTCTAAATAATCAAGCAGCAATAGTAAAAGATAAGGATGATGGATGTATAAATTTAATATTGAATTTAATACAATTATGGGAACAGAGTGATTTTGAACTAAATATTGCTTGATTAAGAATTTTCTTTTAATAATAATATATATATAAGTTAATTAATATAAAATAATTTGATATAAATGTAACTTAGAAAAGAGAGAATACATTATCATGGAAAAACTAATAAAGACATTAAGTATATAATAAAAATAAATGTGTAGACAAATATAAAAGTTTATAGAGAGTGTAGATTTATCTGATATGGAGAGACCAAGAATATAATCATTAAACAGTTCAAATAAGAAGAACTTTCCTCAATTATTAGAGAGTCGAAGAAAAATGGTATCAAGTTTTGTAGATCCTATTGCTGAGACGACGAACTTTACAAAAAAGAAATATGAACAACATTAAATTGGTTATCCTAGATAAGCACATTTAGAAGAAAAATAGTTAAGAAAAAGGGCATATTGTGGTGATTCAAACACTTTGTATAATAGGAAAGAGATTTCAAAGTTTGTGGATAAAGATGAAGAGTAATATTCAGGAGATAAAACTAAAAAATTGGTAAATCAAAAGATTGAAGAGAATGCAAAAGGAATTTAAGAAACACAATTAGTAGGATTAGAAAATAAAGTTACATTAGAAGGAAAGGTAGATCTTGAGAAAGTGAGAGATATTAAAAGATCTATAAGAAGAAGATATGCTAATAGGAAAAACTTTTAGAAGATATTTAATTCATGGGACGAAGATGCAAATGGAGCGATAAGTGTTAAGAACTTATACAATATGATTAATAAAATGGGAATCAATATTAATTAAGATGAAGCAAAAGTATTATTAGCTAGTGCAGATAAAGATGGTTCAAATGATTTAGGAATGGATGAATTTATGGATCTTATATTCAATGATAAAGATATTTTGAATATTGATTTAAAATAATTAGATGAAGATAAAAATAATACTATTAATATTTTAATTTAGGATGCTTAATAAGCTTATCAAAGAAAACATCATAATTAAATCAATATTATGCTTAAAAATAGGGTATTTCATCACATTAATTATATTTTAGTAAATTAAATTAGGTTAATGGTTGTTAGAAGCTGATGAAAATCAAGTAGGTTATTTAAGTTAGAAGAAATTTGAAGAAGTGATCAAGAAATTGAGAATTGATGATAAAATCTTAAGTAATGAAGATATTAAAGAGTTGACTAATAATTTTATATAAGATAATCAATCTGTTGATTACAAATAATTTATTAATCATTTAAAATAGTTTTAATTAAAAGAAGAAGCTTATGTAAATATATTATAGCTATTGAACAGGATGACCCATATGCTATTAAGGAATAGGTTCATTTGATTAAACATAAATAAGTATAAAAATAGAAGTATTATGTATAATATATAATTAGAATTAATACATTTGATCCCACAAAAGTAAATGGATGGCATTTAGAAAGAATGAGATATAGAGCTAACAATATGATTAATAAATTAAAGAAGTATCTACCTGAAAAGGAGAATTTTCAAGATTATTTGCATGAAAAGCTTAAGGGTGACTCCATCAGTCAAAAAGACTTTAATCAAATTGTCATTCAATTTCTAAATAGTGTTAATGAAACTCATCATTAATTTGATATTGAGTCGTTACTTAGTGTTATCTAATTCAATCAATATAAAACATAATCGAAAAATGAAGTTCTAAGAATTCTTTATGAGTAATACATATTTTATTTACTCTTAGTGAAAATGATGATGAATTTTTTGAAAGAGCTTAATAATAGATTAGATAACCTCCTCCTCCATAAGAAAAAGCTATCTTACAAACTTTGAAGCTTAATGATATTCCAGATGATCAATAAGATAATACCTAAATGTATTACAATAAAGAATATGGATTGTCAATGAATTTACCGAATATTAAAAAATAAGTTTAAGCTGTTTTAAAAAAAGTGGATGATACAATATTTAATAAAAGAGAAAGGTAATTAAAGATTTTCAAAGAATTTGATCTTGATTAAGATGGTTATGTTTCCTAAGTTGATTTATAATAAAGAATGAAACACATTTTAACATAAGATGAAATAGGATTGTTAATATAATATCTTGATCCAGAAAATAAGGGATTTTCAAATTTTACAGAATTTTCATAAAAAATTAGAAATGGTATGACTATTCTAGATGAAAATGGAACTCAATTAATTAATGTTAATACATAACCAAGCAAAACTACAGTAATAGCAGCTAGTTCATTTTTACCTGAATTATAGAGATCTATTGATGAATTTAAGAAACCATTTATTGCCTTAAAAAATAAATCAGATTATAAACCTTCAACAAGATATGGAGCAACGCCTAATCTTAAAGATACATTTGCAAATTTAGTTCCTTTAGAAAAAAGTGGTCTATGGGCATCTGCTGAATAAAGATTCAATAAAAATAGAGAAGAGTATTAGTAGGAAGAGAAGAAATTAAAAGAATATAGATAAGAATAAAAAATGGAAAGAATAAGAAGTTATCAAAAAGAAATAAGGGATCGAATTAAATCATAAGATGATAGATATAAATGATAATCGATTTTGAATTTATATATTTATAAATTTAGAGACTTATACAATTTTTAATAATATTGTGATGCAAATAAATAAGAAGGTAAGAGTAGAGAGAGAGAATATTATGGGGAAAAAAAGAAAAAAAGGATTAGAATGAGATAATTTCACAATATCTCTTAATTGAATCAATATCACTGATGCTATTTTTCTTCTGCTCCTGTCTCTTTAAGTTGTTTGAATAGCTGTGAAGCTTCAGGTATCTTAGAGAACTCTATGCAGAATCCTTGTATTTCAGTGAACATTCTTTTTGGATCTAAGGTTTTTGATTTGATAAGTGTTTTAATGAAGACAGCCACTAATCTCACATATCTTGACACCATCTATTACTTAGGCTAATTATTTAGAATATTTTAATACTTGCAATTCTTCGCAATATTGTATGCATTTGGTCAAATACATATGAAGAAAAGCTTCTGGTAATTTAATGGAATTGGAGAGTTTATTGACAACTTCTAAACTTTGAAGTGAAATCTTCATTTAAATCAAACATTCAAAATATTCATGAATGCTTATTCCACATTGATTGATGCGTGCTAATAGAAAGCTTGATAAATCTGGATTGTATTCAATAAGATTAGGAAGTTGATTTGGTGTAATTCCACTATCTAATACATGCCTCTAATCTTGATTGAGAAGATCAATTGTTTCTTAAGCTTCCTTCTAAGACAATCTAGATTATTAAGCTTTCAAGAGATTCTCCTTGATTCTTACTAGTGGCTCTTAGCTCACTTCAATTGTATAATCCCATAATGGATCTGTGATCTAAAGGGTAATCCAATTAAATGAAGAATTAATTGTAGTTGGCACTGGTCGTAGAAAATCTATCGAAAAAGTGGTGAAAATGTGTTCAAGAGCATTTTTTAATGATGAACACTGAATGATTGCTCTCATTATTTAGGGTTGATGTGAATTTTATTAGGTTTAGGTACTCCATTCATCAACAAGTTATCTCAAATTACATTACCCGCACTCTAAATTAAGTTATATAGCGAAACCTATTCCTTATTCAAAACAAGTCTTTTTTCTAAAGCATTAGTACATTGAGCTTCATCACCTGCAAAGTATAGACAGACAATCCGTTGTTGTGGAGTTAAGGATGCAACATCAATGACTTAGTTTAGAATCCACACTTCAGGAAGAGACTTACGATAGCTCTCTAGAGTCCCATCATTAATGCTTTTTAGAAACTCATACACTTGGTCGATTTGATTTTTGGAAATCATTTTTTAATTGTATTAATATTTTCATTACTATTCCTTTTTCTTTTTCGCCAATTCAATCAGATGTTAAATCATTCTTTTACTTTACTATTCAATATTGTAAGCTTCATCTCTTTCAGTCTCTTCATTTTAGCCATTCAAATACTTGATCAATCTATCAAATGTTTTTTGACCTAAATAAGCATTAGCTGTCCATGAAACACCAACACGACCTATTTAAAAATATAATATTTATATATTTACCAGCTCTTCCTATCAATTAAAACAAAGCACCAATAGATCGTTTTTCAGCCATCTCATCAAAAACTATGACGTGATTCAAAGGATAATTGACACCATAACACATAGAATCATCAGAAATAATTAAAGCTAGTTACCCATTTGATGCTAATTTTTAAACTTCTTCATAATAATCAATTTCCAATTCAGATTGCTAAAAATCAATTAATTAAAAACATACCTTTTCTGTATAGGCTGCTATACCTGAAAATAGATATAACATAATATCATCAGGAATATTAAGTTGGTAATTGATTCCTTCTAATGAGAATGCTTTTCTAGCTCTATATTGTTCTAGATACAAAGGATCATTTGTAACAAATTTCTAAATGAATATAATAATAATTTCTTACTTTATAATGTTCCAAAGTATTTATTTTCAAGAAATCAGGAAATGGTATTGTTAATTTCATATTTTCTTATAATGCTTAAATTTGTTTTGTTCTTTCATCTTCGTTATCTATTTCTCTTTCTTTCTTTTCAATTTCCTTCTATAAATACTCATGTTATTTTAAGTATTGTTTGACATAATCAGAAGCTGGAGCACATTTCTTTAATAATTTATGGAAATGTGCTCTAATAAATTCTACTGGATTATTGACAGCAATTAAACAACCTCCTAAGAATTTATGAGCCATATTTCCACCTAATTATCTTATATCTAATTTTTGATATGGAGCAGTGAATTTCATTTTATCTTCATCATCAATTTCTATGGTATATATATATTTAGTTTTTGATTTCTATTATATTTATGTACCGTCTCCAGTCTAATTGATTTCTCCTGTATTTTCTACTTCCTCATAAACATATTCATATTCATATTCATATTCATATTCATATTCTACTTATTCACCTTCTTATTATTATTCACCTGTTTCTCCTATTTATTATTATTATTCACCCTCTTATTATTATATAGTCTCTTATTATTATACATTCTCTTATTACAATTAAGAAATTTATTATTTTTCAGAACATACCTTTTTAAATACTTCATCATCGGCTTATAATAGAATTTTTAATAGTTCTATACTTTTTCTTTATACAAATTCTTATGTAATAATATCAAAAGTTTCAAAATCTTCAATATTAGGAATTCCAAATGCCTTCATTCTATCATATAATTCACAATAAGCATTTGCATTGTAACATCGTTTCATGAATGGATTTTTTTCTAGTCTATCTAAGATTTCAGCCAATTATTATTTATTTTATGCTTAATAATGTGGTAAGAATTTATGACCATTATGAGAAAAGACTTAGCAACCAATGTGGAATTGAGAATCATGGACAACTGGAATTTCAATTTCAGAAATTTAAGCCTTCCTATAAAGTTTAATAAAATGTGGAATCTTTTCAGGAGGAGGTAATGTAGCACTTGATAATATTGTAATAGGAGGTGCTCTTCTAATAATTTCAATCAATATCCTAGTAACTTCAGCATCTGCAAAATCAGCATCTACTGTAGGTTCATCAATAAATAATATATAATCTTTTCCATGTTTTGCTGGATTATTTGATACCAATTTACGATCCTTACCTTACCATCTTACTACATATTTCTCCTTTTCTGATAATGTTTGTTTTTCTTTTAATAATTCAAGGGTAGTCTTAAAATCAGCTACAACTAAGGTTGGAAATTCCTCTTATCTATTTTACCAAGAATTAACTAATCTTGGACATTCTGCATAACCTAATTCAGAATCAATTTTAGAATTATATGGGTCTTTCCACATTGATGCAATTGCAAATTTCAATTTTCTCTCATATGCTGCTGCTCCTACTTATGTTCTAACTGTGTCTAATGGACAACAATATAAAAATTATATTTCTCTAGGATTTCTATAACCAAGATTTTTTAATTGATTATAAGCATTGTTTTCTTATGTAGCAAAGCTCTCTCTTAAACGAGCTAAATATTGAGCAATTGCAACACTTAATACAGTTTTACCTGTTCCAACCATTGTACTAAAAAAAACTAAAGAAGGTTTTTCAATTTTCTTAAGAATTTCTAAAAGATTTTCTTATGATTTATAAGGACGAACATCAGTCCTTATAAATGCTTAATTTAAATCAGTATCTATAACTAATTTTGGATATTTGTTAAACAATACTCTATTAGAAAAACCAAAGTTTTTATATAATTCTTTTAGTTTATATCTAAGATCTTCTACAGCTTAAGGTGCCAATCTTTCTTTTTTAGTTTCATCTAAATAAGATTGACCTTCATATTCTTTATAATTGATATAAACATTCTTAAGAAAATAGATTAATTCAAAAGCATATTCATCTCTAAATTTAGAATGAATATGGCATTTAATTAATTGATTGGCATAGATCATTAAGGCAGAGAATTTAAGTTCCATCCATTTCAAAGATTTAATACGTTTACTAGCTTATTCAGTTTTAAGGAATTCATTTTCTTTTGGTTTTAAATCTTAATTTTAAATAATCAAACCCATTTATTATAACATCTTCATTGTTTAATCATTAACTTTATCCTTTGATAATTCTATACGCATCAAATCTTCTTTCTTAACTGCATTCTTACCACCCTTCTTACCTTATGCTTATTTCTTATCTTCCTATTTTAAATTACCATCATCAATCTTACTCAAAATACCATAATCTACTAATTTAGGTCTAAGATATTTCAAATATAAATCTTAACCCACACATATTTCATATATTACATTAGATTTCTAAACCTCTTATTATTGTACTTATTTTATTTCTTATTCTACTTTCTTTTGTTATTTTCCACCCTTTTATTTGCTAACATCTTTCTATACTACTTCTACAACTTATTTTTCAATCAAATCATCTGCGCAATTATTACCCAATTGTTAAAGTGTTGATAATACTCTTGTTTCAAATTAGCTGAAATTCTTCTTCTCTATCTTTTCCCATTACTCTTTCACAAACTTACCAAAACGAGTATTCGTTCCCTAATCCTTTTATTCATACTCCTCCTCGTTTGGCACATATTGATCCTCTATTTGCTACATATTTTAATTAATATCTTCATGGCCTTAATTATAAATCCCTATGATCCCTAAAATATGTTTTCCAAAGCTGGTAAAATAACTAGCGAGAAATATATAATCTTTGCTAGGAAAGATGAGATTCTTAATCGTAAAACGGGTAAACGAATTAAAAGTTAACTCTTTGAAATACCCATACCTGAACCTCAAGAAAAAGAATAACCTACTAATACTCAATTAGCATAAAAAACATAATAACCTTTTACTAAACAATTATCAAGAGCAGTTGGCAATTATACCAAAATCGGATGTGATGGTTAACCTCCATGTGGTTATTATAATCCAAAATTCAATCAATTAGATAAGTAATTCATTTAATCAATCCTAATAGAGCTAATCATTTAGTTCCTGATTACTAAAAAACACTCGTCAAAACAACTCCAAGATAAATTCCTAAAAGAGTATAAAGCGCTATCAATTTTGGAAATAAAGATAGAGAAGCTATACCTGAAAAACCAGTTTAGAAAAGAGATTGTTTCATAGATATGTCAAGATAAACTGGAAGGTTTGGATATCTTTTGTATTTAGAAAGGAAGTGTTTTTTGGATAACCAACACCACATGAAGAAAGATTCAATTTTCTTAATATAACTACCTAATTTAGCAAAGTTCCACGAACTCCATAATATTCAATGAATAAATCATTATCTAGAGAATAAATGACTGTTTATAAAAGAAAACATTATGCACCAGATTATGAACCTAATTTTGAATTTGGCAAAAGGTAAAAAATTAACTTTATAAAATATTTCATTAGAAAATTAGGATCAGCTGGACCTAAATTTGACTCGAAAAAAGGAAGAGATGACATAATGACTAAGAAATCAGACTATACATTTGAAGAATACTTTGAATTTGACATCTATTCTAGATCATAAAAGAGTCAATTATTCAGAATACCAACAGCTCCTAATTTTGGGAAAATGATTGATAGAGATCATGATCATAAATAATCAATTCTACCATCTTATATGCAAGTATATAATTATACAAATAGAATTAACATACTTAAACCAGAATAGGAATAACACATTTATCATAGAAAATGTTGGAATCAAATAATTTTAGTGATGGTCGATTTTAGACAATTACATCTAGTTTTGTACCACCACCACAAAAATTAATAGTTGAAGAAGAAGATATAAAATGATTAAATATATATATGTATTTCAATATTAGATTTTTTTATCTTACAATTTGGCTTCAAATGAATCCAACATTTTATTAACATCTTCATTAGGTTAATTATTTAATTTATTATTTTGAGTAATTTATATTGCTTTAATCTTAGAATTCGAGATTCCCTTTAGAATGGTACAATTGGAACGTATGGTTCTACTAAAATTGTTGTCACTAACATCACAAGCTTATGCTAAATACAATCCCTTAAACTCAGATCTATCCATTCTAAGGTTATGTTTCTTATTAACACTGAGTGACTATTATCTTGTTATGCTTATAACATTTACTTGGTTAGACTATGCACATTTTTGGTAGTTTGAATATTCTAATTACTAGTTTGAGGTCTTACATGAAATGAAAATGATGGTTTATCACTATCAACTGTGAATGGACGACTTGTTTTTTATTATTTATCTTCTTTTTCTTCAATTTATTGTAAAGTTTATTCAATAATATCTAAAGATGGTCGAGATATGTGAGATGGTCTTCTATTGTGAGTAGTTTTAGAGATTCCCTATTTATGAGTTGTAGACAAACCTGCTTTATAATGTATTTCATCATTTTCTTATTATCTTTTAGCATTAAGTTGACGAATAAGTTTCATATTCTCTTATTTTAAATCCCATCTTATTTATTCAACAATATGTTCTTTTTCTATTCTTTTTTCAATTAATTTAACTGCCTCTTCTTCCATAGCCAATATTTTAGGATTGACTAACATTTTAATGTGTTTCTAAGAATGTTGACCTACTTTATTCCAAAAGAATTCAGGTCTTCCTTATAAAGTAGTATTATATTGATTTTGTTTAAGCAATAACTATTCTGCTTCAATATCTGATTATTATTGACTAAGATTTTATAAACCAGCACGTTCTAATTTACGAGTCTACATTCTTAAATGATCTTCATGTTTTAATTGATTAAAATATATATGTTTGCTCATTTCATATAATTGTTTATCTCTCTATTCTTACTTTAGTAACTATTTTATTCGTTTTTCACCTTTTATTTTCTATTCTTGAATCTTTGCAAAAACTTTCATATTTGAACTGGATTAATGTTGATTGTTCCAAATATTAGCATTATCGTGATAGTATGAATGATTCTTTTTCTAAGTTTGTTAAGGTGCCAATGTCTAATATTATGGTAGTTACTATTCCATATAATACTTTTCCATTGCTGATTTAGGACCAAGCGGATGATTTTAAATCATTATTATTATGAATATTTTATTATCATGTATTTAAGGTTAAAAAGAATTCAATCAAAAGCAACTACTTTAATTAGATATAGACAAATATACTCAATATCCTGAGACTCTCACTCCAATCTTTATTCAAGTTGCTGTCAAAATATATGCAAATAAAGACAAGTACTTAGATGCATTGGAAGAATCTAAAATATTACAACTCATTATTAAAGGACTTGTTATCAAAGTAATCTAACTATTTAATTTAACTTTTAGAGATATAATCATGATGTCCTTATTGAAATTGGATCAATTATCAATTTCTAATCAAATGATAAATCGAATCTTAACATATTTTATTATGTGTACCTATGTTAACTTTACAAATAAAAGTCAAAATCTTAGACTGTTCAACAATAACAACAATTAAATAAAATGATCAATATCTATGAAGATTAATTCAAGAATTACATACATCATTTATCATAAATTGATTGGAATCAAAACTTACTTCATGCGCTCATCAAATGTGTTTTATTTAATCCAATACTTTTTAGAAATCATTCAAAATAAATTCAAGAATTATGCATTTAAAGAAGATCATAAACACCAATCCTTCAACTCTTAACTTAATTATATGCTGTCCTTCAATTTACATATTTGGAAAGCAAATAAGGAATCAACTCTTATCAATCTTAAATTGCAAATACACTTGAACAAATTTTTGATGCTTATTATGTTCTTGCCACTTTAATTGATTTGGATAAAGAAAAAATAATCTTATAAAATAATTGGTAAACTCATTTATCCACTGAAGAAATCAAAATGAATCTTTTAAATGTAATTTATTCACCTTAATTAGATCGAAGGAAAATGTTAAAAAACTAAATATTCAATCATCTTTTAAATTATTAAAGACTTTCTAACCACAAATGATAATTTTTATATCAATTTCAAAGAAACTTTAAATGTCCTATCACTCCTACTTCAATCATAATTACAATTTATCAAAGAAGATATCTTAATTGATATTCAGATTGAAAGTGTCATTCAAAAAATTGGAGAAATTCTATAACTCAATCATTCTTTTAATGATCATTTAGAAGTAGTTTACGAAACCTAACTAACTCAAAGTATAATGTAATAATTATAAAATAAACTCAATAAATTAATGATTGATAGAGGAATTACCCTAAATATAGAAACATTCAAAGAATTAAACTTCTTAAGTAAGTCTATTTCACTTACTTTATTGAATACACTCATATAGTCTAGTTTTGGATAAGGTTTAATTATCAATACATCCATACTTTAAATTTTATTTAAATTTACATAATCATCATTTTCAGTAAACACATAAATCATCAAATTAATCTCTTCACTATGTGAATCTATGTCCTAATAAAGTAATTATTAAAATTAAAGTAGAATTTTTAACTACAAGAATTGAATTAGAAATAATTTCAAGAATTCTTGAGTAACTAGAACTTGAATTTCCTAAATTCATGAAAAATATGAGTAATTTTATGAAACGAGAAAGACATTCAATTTATCAACCATAAAATATTGATAGTAAAAGGAAACAAAAGCCCACCAAAGACATATAATTAGGTTTTCTACCTTAAGATTAACTTAACAAAAATAGTGTAAAATTATTAAAATCAAGATTTGCAAATCAATTTACTGCATTATCATAATTGGTTGTAAATAACTTAAGATAAGGATATTCATTGGATTTAACTAAAAGATTGTATCAATTATTATTTATTATATTTTCATTTCCACATGACATTTTATTAAATTATTGTGGAAGTCAAGTTATCTCATCATTATTAGTATTGTGTAAGGTAGTCTTACAAAATTACAATGAATTAGAATTATGCTTAATCTAACCTATTAAATATTTTATTTAATTTTTGCTTTCATCAGAAGTCTACGAAATAGACTTAGATTTATAATAAGCTACTTTAGGTATTCTAGATTTGATAAATTTTGTTTATTAAAGAAGAAAAACTTTATCGATTGATAATTATGTATCAACAATTGTAAATTATTGTAATATTAATTAGAAATCAATTAACGATTAATTTTCTAAAGCTCAATAGATATTTTAATCTGTGAATTCAGACGAACAATATTATTCCTGTAAGGAGAATTAAATGGATGTATCGATGAATGCCAGTAATGGAAATAATAATAATCTTCATTAAATAGCTGCTCAAATCAGAAAAACTAAAAGCTTTATTGGAGAAGAGGAAAGTAGCTCTAAATAATAAAAATAAACAGAAGATGAGATGTTTTATTCCATAGTAAATAATTCAAATGTAGATAATACAAAAGGAGAATAGCAAAATTAATAAATTGTTACTTTACAATAAAATATCATAGTGAATGAGGATGATGAGATTGAAATACCAAAAGTTGTTTTCGATTGAGAATTTATTAAATTTGTTTATAAATTGAAAAATTTAACATAATTTAATATAATTTAATTATGAGCACAAAAAAATCCTAGAAGGTAATAGGCAAAACATAAAAAATTGTTGAAAAATAAAGTCAAGAATCTTCAAATAAAGATTAAAAAGTAAAAACTAAAGTCAACAGATTGGAATAATAAACATAAGAAAGATAAAATGGAATAATATATGTTGGTCATTTACCTTATGGTTTTGTTGAAGAAGGATTAAAAGAATATTTTACATAATTTGGTGATGTGATAGGAACTAAATTATTTAGAAGCAAAAAAGTAATACATAAAATTAAATTTTTAGACTAATAGAGGCTAAGGTTATGGTTTTATAAAATTTGCTGATAAAGAAGTAGCACCAATTGCAGCATAAGCTATGAATGGATATTTAATGAATGGAAAGAAGTTAGTTGTCAATGTTTTAAGTGAAGAACATCCTGATCCATTTAAATATAAACATGGAAACTAAAAATTGTTTTTTATCAATTGGTCAGAAAAAGCTGTTGAAGAATCGAACAAAGTATTATCATAATTATAATTAGGAAAAATCTAATGAATAAATTGTAAAACAAGTTTCAAGGTTATTAGCAAATGAAGAAGAGAAGAGATAAAAACTAAAAGAATTAGGAATTAATTATACTTATCCAGGATTTGTATATATTTTTATTTATTACTAATATAGAAAGAATAACTAAAGGCTTGAATTGGTTAATGACAATGTATATTAATTATTCTAAAATAATAAAATTAATTTATAAATTTATTTAACTAATTCAAATTATGAAATACTCATATAATTCTCAAATAAACCAATCCAACATGAATTATTTTTTGTTGTTTGACCATAGATAAAATCTATTAAATAGAATTCTGATTTAACAATAATCGAAATGTAATAAAAATATATATTCATATATAAATTAATATAGAGTGTTTAATTATATGGAATTATATAAAGCTACTAAAATCTAAAGAGAATTCAAATAAATTAGTCCATATTTATTAAGTAGATGAGTTCTTTAATCATATTTTTCAAGACAACTAGATATGCTCAGTATAAAAGAATTGGGTTTCTCAAAATTATAGAATTTGATACTCAAAAGATATATTTTAAATGCCATTTAGATAATGTTATGAAAACAATAATAAATGAAACAAAATATTTTAGCATTAGTGATCATAACTTTTGGAGCATTATGCTTAACTTAATTGACAATTCAAATAAAAAATTAATGTGAATGTTCATAATTTGATCAAAGCACTTGTGGCACTGTGAATAATTAACAATCTTGTAGATGGAATACAACTGCTAGCTTATGTGAAAAACTGGGGTGCAATTAAATTAATAATAAGACTACTTGCTTGTAAAATTTTTATGAATGTTGGTGGAATGGAGATTATTGTTAATAATTTACTTCATGTTCAAATCTAAATAGTTCTTAAAATTTAACATGTTCTTAGTAAAATATTCAATGTGGCTAAAATTTATTTAATTCTACAACATGTGTATCATTAGATAATTTACCAAAATGTTCAAAATTTAATTAGACTTAATGTATTCCTTCATAAATTGGTTATTAAGGATCTTTATGTTATTGGAATAATACAAGTTGTTAGACAGCAACATCTTGCTAATAATTATCATTAGATCAATGTTCATAATGGTAAAATACTTGTATTTGGAATGGTTTATCTAATTCATGTGTACAATTATAATGCAGTAATTTTACATATCAGTAAGAATGTACATATGTAATAGAAGCATTAAATCCTTAAACAATTATTCCATGCTAATTTGTCTATGGATAATGTTCTTCCATTAAAAATGCTAGGAGTTTAACTGCTTAAAATTGTTCATCAAAAAGTTTATAAACATATTTTTGGATTGAAGATTCGAATAATATTGGATTATGTATTTCATGTACGTACAAAATACCTTATCTTGACATAATTAATTAATAACAACCCAATAATGAATGTCAGTGTTCAAGTTACCTATAAGAATAATGCTTTTAATCAGATTATTGTTTTTGGATAAATGACTAATGTAATACATTAAATTGTGATATGATAATTGATTAACTAACTTGCATAGAAAATCCTTCCTGCATTTGGTAACAGAATAGTTGTTAAAATTTCCAAAATTGTCCTACTGCCCAAACTAAATAGTAATGTCTTAGCAGTTCATTAAATTGCCCTTTTTTTAATTAGAACACCAAATAATGTTATGCTTTGACAGCAAACATCTGTAGCAACTTTTCTACAGCATCAAGCTGCTAATCTTAGTTAGGATATTGTTAATGGTCAGGTAATCAATGTTCTCAAATTTAATCATGTGGATATCTGGGTTCATAAGTACAATGTTCAAGATTTGCTTACTCCTGCATTTGGACTCAAGGAAGATGTTAGTCATTAACTTGTTCATCTATTTAAAATAGTAATAATTGTATGTACACAATTCCAAATTTGTACACAAAGGATGTTTAACCTTGTGTTTGGAGAAGTGGAAAATGCTAAAATTTAACTGATTCAAATAGTTTGAATGCTACACAATGTCTTTCAAATACTTTACATACTTATAAATGGACAGGCTCAATATGTATTTCATGTTCCTAAAATTTCAATCTATTATAAATCTCTTTAAAACTTCCAAGTTAATGTTCATGTTCCTAGTTATCTAATGAAGATGATTGTATTTAAACAACTACATGCGTATTTTCAAACTAAGTTTGTTAACCCCTTCAATGTTCAAACATATAAACATAATTTTCATGTGCAACTAATCCAAATTGTGTTTGGTTTAGAGGGGAATGTTAAAATTTTAAATTTTGTGCTGATTTAATTGGAGCCTCTTAATCAGAATGTATATTTCAAAGTGTTAATTGTCCAGCAAGTAATGGATTATTTTGTCGTGAGAAGAACTATTTATAGCCATGTTAAACTTATCAATTCCAAAGTTCATGTACTGATGCATTAGGAAATAATGGTTTCTGCTTATGGCAAAATGGATCCTGTTAAGTATTAAGCAAATGTTAATAATTGTTATAATAAAAAGATTGTTTAAATTTTTAAAAGTAGTGCTATTGGAGTAATAATATTTGTTAACCATTAAGTTGTTCTATATTTACTAATCCATAAAACTGTTAATATTACTATTCATCAATTAATTCTTATACTCCTATTTCATGCTATTGGAATTCATATTAATCACTTTGTGCTTAAACAACTGATTTTATGACCTAATTAAATTCAGCAACTTGCTCAGCAAACACTAGATAAACAGCAAGATGGAGTAATACTTTGAGTATTTGTTTGAAATGTGGTGCTCCTCCATTACCAAATCCCTATAAGTGTGCTTGTTCATTTTTAATTTCTTAAATAAATTGTATGTAAAGTTAAGAATGCATATGGAATACTCAAACTAATCAATGTGAATAGTAGTCATGTATCAATTTAAAATAATCCTTATGTATTCAAAATTCATAATGTATGTGGGTTGGATTCTGTGCAGCATTCAAATCATGTAATGTATTATATGCTGTTAATTCAGAGGAATGTGCTGCTCAATCTTTGAGATGTCCCTATTTTAATAGTGAAAAAGGATAGTGTGAAGCAATTTCAAGCTATATAAATTGTGGATATGTAGATAATCAAAATTAATGTGATTAATACTATTCCATTAACTTTAGATGCGAATGGAATTATTAATAAAATAAATGTTAGATTTATATTAGTTGTTAATAATATTACAATCCATACATTTGCAATACGTAACCATAATGTTATTGGTATAATTATGGATGTTAGATTAAAACATGTTAAAATTATAATACTTTAGAATCATGTACATTTGTATTCAATCCAAATATTTGGAATTATATTTAATCATGTTCATGGCTAAATGGTGCTTGTGTTGCTGCAAATAATCTTTTTTCTGAATAAACATGTTTTATTAATACAGATTAAACTGCTAGATGGAGTTCTAACAATTAGGATGGTTATTGCATTCCTTGTAGTATTAGTCTTTCTTAATTGGTTGTTCCGAAAAATAAATGTTTGTGTTCTTAGATACTAACTGAATATGAATGTAATTAAGCTAATTGTTATTGGGATTAAGGTTATTGTAGTGAAGAATTTTGTCCTGAAAGTTAGGTTTAATGTGCTTAAAATCCTAAATGCTATTGGATTTATTAAAGAGAAAATTACACTTATGGTTATTGTAGATAAATTCCAGTAATAAAGATATAAGAATTTTGTACAACACTTCGAGGAAACAATTCTTTAGAATGTCTATCTTAGACTATATAATGTCCTGTATCTCTTGATGGTGTTTGTTAAAGTAAAGAACATCTTTAAACATGTTAAAGTATGAAATCTTTGCAATTGTGTTCTAATGGAATAGGATAGGAAGGATATTGCAAATATGAAAATCAATCTTGTTAGGTTTTAAGCAGCTGCAAACAATTGAAAAGCTTTACTGAATGTAATATATTTAATAAAGCATGTTACTGGGATATGAGTACAGGTCTATGTGAATAAATGACATGTGAATCATAATCTTAAGCAACTTGTACATATGTATTTTAAAGTATTAACTAAGCAAATATTTAATAATGCTATTGGAATGGTCGAAGTTGTTCTTCTGAATTATATGTTATTTCATCGTATTCCTTTTAAACTTGCTTTTAAAATACTGGTGGCACTTATCATTGGAGTAATTCTAAATCAAATTACGGTTCTTGTGTTTCATGTTCATTAAATCGAATTAAACCTAAACATACTTGTTCTTGTACAGTTCTAAACGAAAAAGAATGTACCCTAGCTAAACCTGTATGTAAATTTAATTAGAATAAACAATGTGTTAAATCAGCCTGTTAAGAAATATTCAATTCAGTAACTTGTTCTGAACAAATTGAATGCATGTGGTAGTCTAATTAATGTGTGGATTTCACTAGTTGTACTGATTTGTATGGTAGTTCATCTCTAGATTGCATTGCATAATCCTTACAATGCTAAGTTGTTTCAAATCATATATGTAAATCAGTATAAAGTTTAAACACATGTAGTTAGTATTCTATGGAGTTTTGTAAGATTGATATAATAGGATCAGATGGTCTCTGTTATTGGAATTCAACTAATAAAGTTTGTTAAGTCATTTCTTCTTGTGATAAAGTTACTAACCAATCTATTTGTTAATATTTGAATCGTACATGTTAATGGAGTTACTTTTTTTAATCATGTGTCCCATTCTAATGTTAAGATTATCCATATGAAGAATTATGCACAAATGTTATAGTTAATCTATAAGATCCTTAAATTATGTTATGTGTATGGAAGAATTAAAAATGTATTCCTTATGAAGATACCTACTATAGATTTGATGATTCTATTTGTTATGCAAATTCTGACCATACTTATAGATGGGTTAAAGAAGATAAATATGGTGTCAGATGCTAATAATGTCTTTCAACATTCTTAACCAATGTCATCTTAGCATTTACAATATTGTATATTTTATGATTTTTTTAGAATAATTTTTAATATCAATATTTTTTATCATAACAAATGAGCTCTATTAATATTCTTTGTCCTTTTCATTAAAAAGTTGTTAGCTTTATGAATATTGATTTCAAAGTTAAATTAGGTGATAGAATAGCATGCGATGATTGTGGTCTTATTAGACCTATTAGTATTGTTTCTGGGCTAGAATTTTACAATCTAATGATCACAAATTAAAATTCTGAAATCGATCGCTTATTAGATTAGGAGGTTAAAACTTTATAGAGACTTAAAACTATTCTATACAAAAAAACAGAAGAATTATTGTAAAATATTAAATAATTAGAGAAAGAAATAGATTAAGAAATATCACTCTTAATTTAAGAATTCTCGAAATTAAAATTAGAATAGCATCAAATTGGGTCTACAACATTAACTCAATTATAATAAATAGCTTTACAAATTAGTCTATTTAAAAATCAAGAAAAAGATTTATTTGATTAAATTGTGGTTGAAAAACTTAAATAATATCAAGCAACGTTTTTTAATTAGTATGATACAGCATTATAACATATTTAAATCTACAAAAATTCTATTCAATAATTAATAACCTATAAACAATGTTTCGAGCATCCTTAAAAAATTTGCTTTGATTTATAAATAGTTTCTAAACACAATTTAATTATTACTCATTGTGAAAATTTATTAAGAAGTTATTAATTTCAAGATGGCAAATTAAATTTATTTTAAGAAGAAAACACTCATAGAAGCTATATAGAAACTATATGTTTAAGTAATTCTTAAAAATTTCTCTTCACAGGTGGAGTAGATAAAATTATTAGAATTTGGCAAATTTCAGATCAAGGAATTTTAAAATTAGATTAAGAATTAAAGTGTCATAAGGATTGTATTAAGTCAATCGTAATTAATTCTTAAGATAAATAATTATTTTCAACTGGTTATGATAAAAACATTATAATCTGGAATAAATATAATGATTCTTGGTGCTAAACTTAAATCTTAAATGAACATACAAAAGAAGTTATACAATTATCATTGAACCAAAGTGATAATCTATTAATATCTGTTAGTTGGGATAGATCAATTAATATTTATAAAAGTATTTCTGGACTTTGGTAAATAATGTAAAAAATAGAAAATCCTCATAATAATAAAATTTACTCAGTTTGCTTTATAAATGATGGATTATTTATTACTGGTAGTAGAGAATTAATAATTTGGGAAAAAAATTCATCTTCTGAATAATTTATTTAATAAAGAACAATTATATCAGAATTAGAATGTATTGATAGAATAAAATATCTTCCAAGTTTAAAATTAATGACGTCTCAAAGTTCAAATGCCTTAGATATTTGGAGATTTAAAGAACATAATGAGCCTTATTAGATTTAAAGTTTAAAAGGGTTATATTAAGGATCCACATTAACAAATGATGGTTAATATCTGATTGGTTATAATGTGGAGAATAAGAAATTTGTTATTTGTCAAAGAAATTTTTGAGTTCATTTTTTAAGTGATTAATATTGTACATAAAATTATTAAATTCTTGATAAGTATATAATAAAAATTATTCTCCAAATGATAAATCTCTTGAATTCATATAATTAGATTTTATATATTTAATCTAAATGAAGTTTATAATGTTTGTACAATTCACTCATCAAAAATTCTCATTACTTTAAAAGATATGGGAAGAAGAGCATTTATGTTAAAAAAAAGGTATACACTAAAGCTATATACTATATGTTAGATGGAGTATGATGAATACGATAGAGCATTTATTTATGCCAATAAAACAACAAATTCGTTTACTAAAAGAACCTATTATTTTAGAGTTTAAGTTAAATTTTTTAGTATTTTGATTTACAAAAACTATTTAAAAATATTTAAACATAAGTAATTAATTGACATTTTGAATATATGTTTGAAATTGTGAAGAAATTGCATGAAGGACATAAATATTTAAATGAAGCAATATAGATAAATCTTATTTTAATAAAAAAGAAATAAATGTTAATATATATTTATTTTTGTAAAGAATGAGTAAAATTAATTTATCATTTTAGTATATGATTAAGCATTATAAAAGTAACATGATAATCTAATTCCATAAATAAATATAATTTTTTGGAGATCAATTAATTCTAATTAATGTGATTGATAGAGATAAACTTTTAATAATGATATGTAAATATTTAATTTTTTAATATATGTCTAATGAATAATATCATATTATTATTGCTAATAAAAGCATGATAATAGATAATATTTAATGATATGAAGGAATGGGAGCTGGGGGATCAGGATCAGGATCAGGTGAGGCTGAACAAGATTGACATTTACCATCTTTCCATACTCTTCCACATGCACTATCATAAAAACAATTATTTTCTGTGAAATCATCTTCATTTCTTTCAATACAATCGCCTTAAGCTGTCCATTGACATAATGTTGCCGTGTACTAATCAAATGAGGAAATGAATCTACAAGCATCCTTTGTTTAAATATCTGTGCATTTTTTATCTCTGCATTTATCATTTTCCCAAATACATGATATTAAGTTCTTCTTACATTGACTTTAATTATAACTACCTTATTCACATTTCTTCATTGTCACACATTTTGCAGGACTACCAGATAAAACACATATTTATTCTGAAGTATTTTTACATAATTCTGGTGTAAATGATTCACATTCTGGGATTGATACTTTTCCACATTAATCATCTTTAATTAAAATACAAGTATAGTTTATATCATTACATTTCTAGTCCACAGTTTCTTAGTAATCAGAACATTATTTAAAATTTACACATTTACCATTCACCCATCCACAAGAAGTTAACCCTCTGCATATTTCACTACCTTTTAATATTGAGCATTCTACACTACGATAAGATTCACAAACTTTTTTTTCTTCATTCCAATCACATTCTATTCCTCCTCCTATGGGGTATTCATCACATTCGTCTTATTTTAGAACTTACTCACAAGTACATTCATTTATTTTTACTTATATTGAATAAGCCATTACTAACAAAGTGAACAAGATTAATGATCTAGCCATTAGTTATTTTAATCAAATTATTTTCAAATATAAAATATTTATATTCATAAGATATTTTTCATGGAGATTAATTAAATTATTTCATTAATAATTATTTTTATAAAATAGTCACCTAAAGATTTTTTAAAAAAAACAGCGTCTATCAAATATTTAAAATATTATTTTAGCAATCACATTCACATTCCATTCTTACTACTTTATATCATTTTATTTCTGATTACATATTGATTTCTAATAAATTTAATATAAAAATACAAATGCAAGAAAAATCAAATTTAAAATATTATTTAAATTTGTATTATACTAAACTTTAATAAGATATATATGAAATAATCCAGCATTTCAAGAATAATTGCAAACCAAATTATTTGATAAAATTGAGTATGTTGTGGAATTAAAAATAGTAATATAAATCAATTTAATCCTATTTAGAAGAAAAAAAATGAAAAAAGTAGAGGATTTTTAGATGAGAAAAATTTAATCAATATTAAATAAGTAAAAAATTTGAATAGAATATAATATTCAATTATTAATTAATCAATAAATTTTATTAAATGAAGTTATAGTAGTTTTTGATTAAATTACCAAGGATAATTATATATGATCTTTGAATTTTGGATTAGGATTTCTTGGAATTTTAATAAAATGATCCTCTTTAATTGAATTCATATACCAATGTTCAAGAGCTTATGAAGCTGTTATTCTTTATAATGGATTGTGATTTAATAAACTTCTTAAAAATTAATATCCACAATCTGGAATATTGAGTACAGATAATCGAGATATAGTAAATTTCTTATTGAGTTTAAGGATATCATTAACTTATTCAGCCTGAAATAAATGTTTGTTAAAGTAAAGTTAATACATGACAACTCCTACACTGAATATATCTGATTTATAATCAAAAGGTTTATTAGTCAGAACTTCTGGAGCTATGTAACCAGGAGTTCCACAAGTAATAATTCTAGATTCTAAATTTATAAACTGACATGCTAATCCAAAATCTATAATTTTAACTTAATTTTCATCATCTATCAATATATTATCAATTTTTAAATCTCGATGTATTATATTTCTAGAATGAATATAATGAACTCCTTCGAATATATCCTTAAAATTGTAATTAAATTTGATTATACTTTCATAATTAGTTTAATCTCTTCATGATCGTAATCATTTCTTAATTTATTAAGTTTTTCCATAACAATATAAATGGAATTCGTACTTTCATAGACTTCATAAAATCTGGCTATATTTTTGTGTTGTAACATAGACCAAATGAATATTTCTTTTTTAATATCTTTAACCACATCTTGATTTACCTTCTTCATACATTTTGCAGCATATAATTTATTGGTAATTTTACACTGAAGTAAACAAACTTATGAATAATTACCTTTTCCAATAGTGCTAAGGAAATAATACATATTGTTAATCTTTTTATAGGTAACAAATCTGCCTAAGTTTAACTTAAGTTTCAATAAATCATGATGATCTCCTGTAAAGAAAAATGTATTTATTTCGAAACCTCGTATTAAGTTATTTTCTTATCTCCATATAATATTTGACTCCAGATTTAGAGGGAATGTCATCAATTAAATTTAGTTCATGATTACTAAGTTATTGTTATTGTCGATGGTAAGATGGCATAGAGAATTGTTAAATGTGACTTTGATGTTAAAATTCATTATTTATAAGAAGAAATTTTAATTATGGAAATTGAAAAATAATCTAAATTAATAAAAATGAAAGTCAGATTATCATGATTCTTAAGCCTTTCTTAATTTTAATCGTTAACGAGATTAACTTAATTTCTATTTCAATTTATTTAAAGTTCGAATAGCCATATTAAATGATAATCTTGTAATGGCATTATGAATATCATTTTCAGTAACACAAAAATTACCTTAATATTCATTCTTTATTGGAAATCTACCATTTTTAGTAATCCAAGGATGTTCCTGAAATAATTAATAAAAAGTACTAACACTTGTTAAGTTGTAATTCTATTATTGGGATTCTTATCTAACATTTTCTTTAACAAATCAGTTAGATCTGATGTTTCTTTCCATTTAATATTTTAGGTAATAATATTATTTTTTAATTGATCCTATTTTAATGAAATAAATGGATGTTCATTATAAACTAATTAATATAAAGTTAATCCAGCAGCCCAAACATCAATAGGTTTGCCTCTTACTTAATCTTCAGTAAATACTTCTGGAGGTTAATAAGCTGATGTTCCTATTTTGGATTTGACTAAATCATCATCCATTATCTAAGAAACTCCGAAATCAGCTATTTTCAATCTCATATCTTAATTCAACAGTAGATTTTCAGGTTTTATATCCATATGGGCTATATTTGCAAAATTATGCACTTATTTTAAAATTTATAAATTTATACAATACTCTAATCCTAACATGAAATCTCTAAATAATCTCCATATAGTTTCAATATTCTTATTCTTAATTTATAATAGTTAAGGTCCATCCATATATTCCAAAACCAAATATAATTTATCATTATTTGGATTTTCAATAACTTCATACAGTTACACAATATTTTCATGTCCTACTTTCTTCATTATTGCTATCTCCTTATCCAATAATGAATAAGCATCCATTTTACTTGATAGTAACTTTAATTTTAATTTCTTTCTATCACATATTTTTACAGCCTAGATTCATAACTACTAATTCTATACATATTTTCTATGGTTATCTTTTGCTAATTTTACTTTCCCAAATGAACCCTTTCCAAGTTCCTATAATATTGTATATTAATTAATCTTAACTTAACCATCCTCAGTTACTTCTTTTTTCATTATTGAATGATTTATTTGCTTTTAAGATCCCATTAATTTTCTTTCCAATCCATTCTGATTTATTGCATTCTCCAAATCTATTATTTCATCAAATAATGTATCATCTGTCATTCCCTAACCATTTACAATCTAGATGGAATCTCCTATTGATCTTTAAGTTGATAAAAATTTAATTTCCCCTATTATAGGACTTGGCATACTATCATTTTTCTTTTTTGCAAACTAAATCAGATCTAATTTGAAAAGGTTTTTCGGACTGTTTTACCGACTCTATTATCTACTTTTTACAAAATCAATTAAATTTCTTTATCGATATTTTATATAATCTTTGATAGTGTTCGGTGTATTTCTTTCAGGAGAATTTGGTGCTGATGCAAACTAATTAAAACTAAAATTTTATCCTGGTGTTCTATTTTTTATAGGTACTTATAACATTCTTTTAGATTAAAATTAATATCAATATTTTATTTCTCTTATTACTATTCTAAACTATATTTCTCTTTACTAACCATACTATATAATATTATATTTTATTCATTATGGCAGATTAAATTTCCAAAGATGCTTGTTATTGCACAGAATCACCTTAATACTTAAATACTAACAATAAGCTTAATTTTATCAATCATTAATAAACCATTTCTCACTTTGATGCTCTTAATACTAATGCAAATGATTAATTAACAGAAAAAAACATCCATAATCATATTAAGAGGATCTTCAATAAACTAATAAAATAACTTCATTCTCACATATTGAGCAATTAGGAAAAGTTCCCACATTAGTTCTAAGAATAATAGCATCTGCAACTCTAGAAGAAAATCAAATTTTTGAGTTCCAACCAAATCCTTAATAAATGTAATTTATTTTGGTTGTAAATACAAAAACAAAAAAGGGGGATATTAAATTAATCATTTTAAAATCCCATCTGTTGATAATAAATTGAATATGAAAAATAGGGGGTAACATTTTATATTAACTATGATTCTAAAAACTAAATCTTTAGAATCAAAGATTTAGGAATTGGATTTGGTTGCTTTGGCTAGACAAGTAAAATTAAATTAGAAAATAATACTCTAATAACATTGGGATAGATGTATTTTACAACATAAATATGCTATGGTTAAGATTTAATAAAATTGCCTTCTTTTAATAATTTATATGATATAAAACAATTTATAGTCAGTGGATACCCTTGTGATCGATAATACTTCTTCTCTTTAGACAGAGATTAATGGTACCTTAGAATTCAAATCTATGGTGGGAGTGCAAAAGATGATGTTTACATCTTAGGATCTAAAAATTATTTACCTGTGACTATAGGAAGAAATATTGATTGTTTGATTAGGTATTATGATGACATTCTACTATCAAAATATCAATGCACAATAATTTTTGATGGGAATTGGAAAATTATTGATGGAATTGAAGGAAAATCATCAACAAATGGAACTTGGCTTTATTTAAAAGATGAATAAATATTAACCGAAAACATGATATTGAAAACAAATAATACAATCATGGAAGTGAACTTTAAATGACATTCATATTAATATATTATATTCAAAATTTATACTATGTCATTTGCTTGCAGCAAAATCCTCCAAAAATATTGTAAAAAATTGTATCAACATTAAACAAAGATATTCAATATAAATAATAAGTACACTCATTAATTAGAGAACCTGCTACTAAAGATTTGATTTCTAATTTTGGTTTGAAGAATTCCACTTTTTTGAAAGAACACTGCTTCAATTTTTTGTTGAGAAATAAGTATTTTTTTATTTTTGATTTTCGGATTTTCGATATAATCGATTTGGCAGTAGCATATTTAATATTTAATAGCATAGAGGCCTATATAAGAAGTAGTATTTACAGATTTTATAGAATAAGACTTCTTAAAAACTAAGTTTTAAAGTTACTCCTTTTCGTTTTGATGCACTTTTTAATATTATCTTACCCTTTCATTATTTATGGTATTCTGTGACATTTTTCAACGTATGGTTAAATCTTTTATCAATAAAATAATAAATAAAGAAAATTGTAAATAAATTGGATATAAATATTTAAACATACAATAAATAAGATTTAATTTGATAAATATCTTGATAATTTAATATAAAATTAATAATATAATTTTTAATAATATGTAATCAAATTATAGCTATATTTTGGTGGTTAATATGTTCTAATTATTATTTTGTTTCTTTTTTAAATGCCCTTAAAATATAATTAATCCATACCTGCTGCCACATACTAGGATTAATGTTTGATCATTTGGTTATGGTAAATATTGCTATAAATGTACAGGTTTCATTTAACCCTTTGGACCACTAAATAGTTTATTAATAGGGTCTTTTTCACTTCTTAACATGAATGTAGCATTTATCTTTTTCTCCTCCATATACCAAATCAATTCTTCCATCAAAACTAATTCCTCAAGAGTATCAGCAACATAGAGTAGACCAATGTGTGTATTATCACCATTTGTGGCTATACCTTCTATTAACTATCATAAAATAGGTAATTAAATTAACTTGAAAGAAAGCTGCAATTGCTGAAGATTCTGCAATTATGCCTATATATTGATAATTTGAATTGATATTATATTTAGGAACTTCAATATTACCATAACCATGATAAAGGTAATTAGTAAAAGGTCCATTAATGTTAAGAATATGTCCTTCCTATGATTATTGCAAATTTTACATTCAATGTTGTAATATGAGTGGAAAAGTTTTTATTTTCTGCATATATGGCATGTACCAATAAATCAAACATTCCAACATCATCAATCCTTGAAATGGGACAATAATATCTCGTAGTATCAATATCAAATTTAGGATCATTTAGTGATATATATTACCCTATACGCGTACCCAAACATTTATCTTATTGTGGAATTGCTAATTATAACATTCTTAAGAATTACCAAATCTCATTAAATAAGTCGATTGATTCAATTATTCTTTGGAATGCAATGTACATTATTGTTGAGTATTATTCAAAAATTTGAATTCTTGTTTAATGTCAACTAAAATTTGAATTGTTTTCTATACATGGATTGATCATTCTAAACCTCAATTTGAATTGATAGAGTAATGATTGGAACATTATTTTAATATTTTAATTGTTGTAAATTTTATGTAACTAAATATCAATGCTTAATTATTGTACTTCCATATCATCAATGCAAGCAAATAAATTTAATAATTCTTTTCTGTCTATCGTTATTAATCTAAAATATTTATACCAAAAAATCATAACATTTAAAAATAAAAGTTTTTTAGATGATCTCTAAGATTAGTCGATTAAATTATTGAATAAAAATTTTACTTATTGTGGAAAGGTAGAACTGGAGAATCTATTGATAATAAAATATTTTATAAAGAAATAACATCTGTATAATAATTATATTTAAGCCGACTTCAAACGAATTTTTCTAGAGTTGATATTAAGAGAAGATGGCAACTTATAGTTTTGAATTCTTTATCTAAAATTAATATAGCAGCCAAACATGGAAGATCTTATAAATTTCTGCTTTAAAAAGAGGATCATTTCGTAAAATATCTAATAAATTATGTCTAAATTAAAAGCATTAAAAATTGAATAATATTAAATGAAATGTATGAAATACTCAATAAAAATATGTTTATGGTTATTATTATTATTATTCTTTTGGAGGTGATTTAGGTCTTAGATTTTCAATTTCGATGGTTGTTTATAAATAACGAGGACCCATGAATGGTTTTTCTTCACTAAATTATTCTTATTAGAAATATGAATTATATTATTATGGCATTTATCTTGTATCTCTTAATTAAGATCCAATAGTCAACCAACCATCTCTAATATTATGTATTTCTCCAAATAATTCAATTCGTTTTCTACCCAAACAAAACCTTTCTATAATTTCATATAATTCTTCAGGTTTTTTAGTTGATCCCATGACTTCTTCTTCAGTAATAATAACATCAGTATCAATATTAGCATGAATGAAATGTTAATCAGATGCTCTTTTTACATCTCCTCTTAATCCAACTAAACAATGTTCTTTAACTCGTCTAAATAAATTATCACCATAATCTTATCCTGCAACATACTAATTTTATTTAGAATGATCTTTATTAGTTTTTAACCAAACAATATCTTCACATCTTTTAAATCCCCAAGTTTTAAATAATTCTCTGCCATCATCTAAATGTTCAGATCCACACCATAAGAAAATAAAACTTGGTATATCGGCAATTTTATCAATATTTAATTATTTTAATTCTTCTAATGTCCAAGACTATTAATGTTCTTTAACTTGCATATTTGCTTACATTAATCTTTTAGCATACTCTGCCCAAGGTGGATCAATTAAAATTACATCAAACTATGTTAAATATTTATATATATAATAATACTTTGCCCAATTATGATAAATCAAAAGCTCTTAAATCTGCTTTAATATAATTTGGAGGATGATTATGTTTCTTTATTAACTCTGATTTTAATCTTATTAGCTCTTTTGATTTTGGATAATCTTCAAATCGTTCTTCTGGTTTGTATTTCTTTATTGAATTCTAAGGTCTTTCATTTGTATCCAAAAAATGTTTACATAAATCAGTCCTAACAATCAATTTTAATTTTTACAATTTTTGTTGCATTTCGAAGTGAATATTATTATTTTATTTTACTATGAATATTTTCGATGAAAATGTCCTTATCTGTTAATTCTAAACTCAAGTTGATTTGCTTTATAGATCAATGAACTAAGAACTCTTGATTAATCTATTCAATCTTGCTAATCAAACAGAAAATGAGTTAACATTATAAATTATTGGATCTCTTATAGCCACATATATTGATACAAATCATTAAGAAATCACTTGTTTCGAAAATATCTATCAAGGAGTCTTCTAAATCATTAGAAAAGTCAATTCTACATCTAAACCGGTTTATCATTTTTTAGGCTCAATTTTAGCAACAATCATGTTTCATTTTTAAGATAAACTTCCAACTAATTCTTTTAATTTATTTATTCAAGAACTATTAAATATTAAACCAATAGCAGCATTTGCTATACTTGAAGCTGTTATACGAAGATTAACACCCAATCATAAATTACATAAAATTGCTGTAATCACTCTTGATTCCCAACATAGAGCTGTTAAGAATTACTTCTACAAAAATAATTTAGAATTGTTATTAAATAGTATTATGGTTATCTTAAAAAATAATTATATTGATCTTATAGATAAGGCTATTAGTTTATTCAGTCTCATTATGGAAGGAGAATTTATTACAGACACCAAAGAAAAAGATTTTCACAAATTAAGAAGAGCAGATATTAAAAATAATAATTCATTATAATGTCAACTTTCAAGATTCAATCCTTGTTTTATAGAAGCAGAAATATAGTAATTAATGATTGAAAATTCCAATATATAATGGGTTGATCCTACACGATCAGACATCAAAAGATTATGGACCAGTATTCTTGATCCTGAATTCATTTAATTACTACTTAGATTATTACCTTAATGTAATTTATTATGGAATGTTCTTGGTAAAATTTGTAAAATATTTAAAAAACATTTCATTAAAGAACAAAAAGCTCTAGATCTTATTTTATTTATGACTCAAGAAGTTTAAAAACTTGATCCTACATAAATAGATCTTATTAAACTCTTTAAATTTTCATGTCGCACCATCTTTGCTAATACTAATCAAGATTGGCTTATGTTTAACATGAAATTATTCTCAAAAGCTAATACCATTGAAGGATAAGTTTAAGTATTTCGATTTCTAAGAGAAATTTGTAGATATTATAGACAAGTACCCAATTCTAATAAGGAATATTTTAGTCAACTCTTTATTCAAATTATTTATAACTTCTTTAGTAATTGGGTTTTGGCTGAAAACGAACTCTTACTTTAAGAAAATTAATATTACTAAAATATTAGATATAACATCAAAGTCATTACATAATTTATAGATAAATAATACTTTTAATTCTTCTAATAATTTATTGCTCAAAATTTGAATAATCTCAAATATGTCATTCATGCATATGATTTCTTATTGTTAGGATTTAAAAGTTTAGTCTATTCTATAAGTTATTAATTAGATGTCTTAGTCAAATTGCGTCATTACTAATTTATGGATAGATTTCTTTATCCTTATGATCTTGATACTTTTAACTAATTCAATTATCAGTCTTTTTTCATTGAATTGATTGATATTCTTTGGAAAATCAATACTCATTTACAATCCAATGGAATTCAAACCAAATTTTACTATTACCTTTGGTCAGCTTTATTTGATTCAGATCTTCTAATCAAATTTGAACCTATTATGTAATAAATACAAATAGAGAGAAAACTCTTCTTTGATTTTGCATAATTATTAACGATCTAGGATGCTAATCTACTTAAAAAATGTCTAAAATTAATAAGCAATTCTAAAATCCGATTCGAAAAAGATTAAATCTATAACAATTATGCATGCACAATCAACAATATTATGGTACCAGTTGATTGTTTGAATATTTTTGACCATTTCTAATTGATTTAAGATACAGAATTATAAGAACTTTATTATAGTATTAAATGTAGCATTTACAATGCTCAAAATGAAGCGTATTATAATTCTGAGGATTGTGATAATTTACTAAACAAATTCTTAGTAGGTTTAAATAGTTTGGTGACTAATTTATAAGATATTTAATCAATAATGTATATTTTTAAAAGTTTATTAAATGCAAATGGTAGATTTTCTTATAAATAAATTATGACAATGATGTGGGAATAAGAGAGGTTTAATTAATTTAAGTAATTTTTATAATTGAATCCAATTTCAGATACATCTATCACACTTTTAGTATTTACAAGAAAAATGATAAGCATGGATTCTGTAAAATCTTTACGTAGTGAAATTGTTGACGAAATTTATGAATGGATCTATAATTTATCACATTATTACATAGATTGGCTAACTAGAAATAATAATGATTTTAATTAAGAAAGACAACTTGGAGAAAAAAGTGAAAAAAAGATTTACTAAGTTTATTACAGACCTATAAGGAAATTACTTAAATTATTTGTCAATTTTAAATACATGAGATAATGTTTAACAAGTAAAGTAAAAGTTAAAGAACAAATTCTTTAATTAATTTACAAGCTATTGCATCTTATAAATTTGAACGATCTTAATGTTCTTATTCATAAAATGGAACCGTTATATAGGGTTTGCGAATGGCTAGTTGAATTTGAACTAGCAAATAACAGGATGAATCCGAATGATTCACATTTAATTCTTGAATTTGCCAATAAAGCTATTAGAATCTAAGAAAAATAGACTTTCTCATTGGCGATTAAAATATTTGAAATTGCCAAAGAAAAACCAGATATCTTAAATAAGCATTATGTATTTTATTAGATATATTTAGGTCCTTATTTAATTCATTTTGGAAGATTTATTAATAGCTGCCTATATATATAATTAGAGAGTCTCAGAAGTTGGAAAAATTTTATATAATCATTTAAAAAAGTAGCCTAGCATCTTTGACTCTCTTTTTGTTTCCATTTAACAACGAGTTTCCCAACAAAAATCACCTCTATGGCAACAATAGTTTATACAAAAAGCATCCATTTTGAAACAATAGCTTTATTAAAAGCAAGATCAATTTAACGATGCTTTTGTTCAATTACAAATGCTTTACAATTACCTATAATGATATAAAGATATAAATATAAGTTATATGATTTTAGTTTAATTTAATTATGAAAGCAATTTTAGAAGATTTATAAATAAATTTTATCATATTGTTTTTTTCATTAACATAGAAAAAATTAAAATTATAATTTTTTAATAAATAGTAATTTCAAGAATTTTTTCGATAGGTTATGACTAAGTAAATCAAATATAATATAGATATTTAATTCAATCTTTCAATCATTATCATTAAATCTTACTTTTTTTTTGCTTTGATTAATCTTTGATTACTCACATAATTTTAGAATTGGCTTTGGTTCAAAAGCTGAGCTATTAGGAAGCTACAGCTCAGCTATATTTTATAAATTCAATTAATCTTTTTTAGATTCAGGCAATATTGGCTATAATGTGATTATCTTACTTTTGCCTTTATATTCATAGTTTTTTAAAGATGTTGCATCTTATTCTAAATGAATCATATCTAAAGAACTTGTTAAAAGGATATCGTAACAATCATCTTAATTTAAACTGATTATTGGATTTTATGTTTCTATTGTTGGTTTTGATGGACTTTAAGCATATGAATTAGGAAGTTCTATAACATGATTAATTTAGCTTGTATTTTAGGAACGTTTTATTTCTTATCCATTAACTTCCCCAATGTGACAAATACCATTGCCCATTAAAATTATAATATTATTACTTTTGAAAAAACTTTATTATTAAAGTTGACAAAAAAATCATAAAAATGATCATTAAAGTTGATTTTCACATAAAATTTACTTTAATCATCACCTTTAAACTAAATATATAAAGAATACTTATATTTATTTGAATATTTTATTGTTTTTTATTTACAAAATAAAATTTCCCTTCCTTCTGGTTAAAAAAAGGTTCAAGGTTTATATTTATTTTCTCTTCACAATTTATTAGCAAGAAATAATCTTTCAATTTAAATGACAAGAAGAATATGAAAAAATATATTGATTATTATTATTATTCTAAGAGCGACTATATTTTATAAATTTTTAAATGAATTTTAGATATAATCAATGAATAACCTTGAAAAAGGAATAACTTTTGTTTTATTTTTTCTTTGATATCTAAAATCATTTTCAATCTTATATAAATAAGAAATATATAAACTAAAAAAATAGTCACCATATCAAATATAGGGGATTAGATTAATTTATTTTAAAATTAGATAAATTTATTATGATGCTCTTTGATAATAGATATTCTGTATGTTTAAAAGAGATAAAAATATTAAAAAACCTTTTAGGTTACATTAACTTATGATTTTAAAATAAAGATTGAAAATAGATTTTTAATTGATATTTTAAAGACAAACAAAATCAATTTTATAATTTAATTATCAAATTTTAATGGTTACATCAATTTTTTTAGTTTCCAATTTTATCAATAGTTCTTTTTATTCATCGATAGTAAAGCGATTTTCACAATTAATCATATCTATATAAATCACTTATGTCTAACTTTTAAAATTTTCTAAAATTTTTATGAGATCCTATTTATTAAATTAACATCTTTTCATAACAAGTTTAAAAATTTTAAGATCTTAAAAAGGGTATTATTAAAAATCTAAATTAATGTTTTCAAAAGTAATATCCAAAATTTCTAAACGACTTTTTAAATTATTTTGAAAGTTAAATGTTTATTTAGATTCATTATTATTATTAAGAGACATCCAAAATACTTTCAAGTTAGTGAAATTTTCAAAAAGCTTTTCAGATTCATTTAAATTAAGATTACCAGCTACTTCAAAATAAAATTGTTCAATATCATACCTATCTAACTCTAAAAATGATTTATTTATATTTAAACATTGTTATTAAACTGCTGTTTAAGCATTATTTTCATATTTATACATGATTTAGAAATAAGAATAAGAAAATGCAGTCAATGTTGCTTATCTTTCAAGACAAAATTCCATATTAATAGAATCTGTAGTTTCAACTGAAATTTATAGAAATTACAATTCTTATGGGCAATGTTTAATGAATGCATTAATATGAGGAAAACTACCAGCTTTAACTTCATCTAAATAAAAGTTTAGTTTCAATTAATAAATCTCACTAACTTTTAGACATCTGACAAAATCATGTATTTCAGGTCCCATACAAAATAATCTTTAAGCTTGTTCTATTTCTAAAATTCTTTTCATAGAAGCAAGTACGTATTTAAATTAGGCTAACATCTTTTCTTTTTTTTTTCCGCCATATCTTGAAAAATCTAAATTTTTCACATCAATTTTAAATGTGTATAATTCTTTTAAATATTGTTCATCTACTTTGGACATAATTTAAAAAGATTTAGGGTATTCTAATAAAATTTAATTGGAAACTGAACTTAAATATAACATTGATTAAAAGAATTATATTACTGAAATTTTGCTTAAAATTAAAGCTGGAATAAAAAAATCTTTTACTACAACTTCTAGAATATCTTTAATAGCTAATACACCTTCTTTCAATTATTACATAAATGATAAAACCCAAGTAGCGCTTACATTTCCTTCTGACAATGCTAAAATATAAATAAAAAATTAAGGAAGTTTATTCAAAGCTTCTTCAACGCTTGTTCTCCATTTAACTGCTTGATAAAATGGCTAGCTCATAATTTCAAAGATACTTCCATTAAGTTAAACACTTTTCCATTTAAATACTGTAATTGGGAGATTTCCTACAAATTTTGCTGCATAACTTTTAAATTTTAAATATCCATCTGAACTAAAATCTCTTTTAAAACTTTATGCAAATTGTTTAGCACATAAGTATAACATAATCATTACAATATCCCAAATCTTTAAAAAATTACATATTCCAAATAAAATAGTATTGATAACTTAATTCAAAATTTTAAAATCTTTAAATTGTCTATGTTAAAAAACAGAAAAAGATGCCATCTACATAATTGGATTTAAAACTGTTAATATTATTAATGCATCTACAAAAGCATTATTTTCTTGACTTAAATAGACAAGAGAAATAATTTAAAAAGATCCATTAAACAATGACCAAATAGTTTGTAGACATCCTCGAACTGAATTTAATTAACTCCAAAGTTCATAATATGAGTATAATGTCATCAAAAATTTAATTTAACCGAATCTTTCTTCAAAAAGATCTTTTTTTGAAATACTATCAATCTTTTCTTTAGCTTCTCTTGCTATCTTTTCAGATGTATCTTGATTAGTAGTATTAACATTATTATTTAATGATTAAGTTTTTATATAACTTGTAGCAATATTACGTGACATTGATCTCATTATATCAACAGGAATATACATAGAAAAATCAGAAGAAATTGCTATGTATTCTCTATTTCTTAATTATTAATTCATTTATAATACTTACCAACCAGCATTTATTTTTGGATTTTAAATAAATTATATTTTTTAAACTTTTTCCTCTTCTTCATTTTCATCATTTTCTGGAGAATTCCACAATTCATCAATATTTTCACTGTTTTAAAGTTCCAACTTTAATTATGGAAAATCACTTTTATTAAAAATACTTTCCAGAGTTTACAATTTACTTAAATCTTTATAGTATAAACTTATGTTTTCTACTTAAATAACTTTGAATAAGTTTGCTAAATATTACAATGTAACTTCTTCATATTAATCAATAAAAGAGAATGAAATATTTTTTAATTTCTTATACTTTGTTAAGAATGCAATAATTTAAACCATACATCTTTTCTTTTGGTAAGAATTAAATGTACTTGGATCAATTTAAAAATAAAATGATTTAACAAATCCTATATATTTTAAATCTGCTTTTAGTAATTGTTTAGTTTCTTAAATAAATTTCAATTTAATTTTTTTCAATTTAAATTAAAGTTCTGTTTACATTTATCTATAAGTAGTTGTAAATACAATAAATTGTAATTCAAAAAGATAATAAATTAAATTACTTATTAATAATAAATAACTGAAAGTATTATATCCATTCCAGCCCGCCTTCACATTATTATAAAAACCTTATATAAATAATTAAGGAAATGTTTAAAGACACATTGTTATCATCATTGAAACAAGGGCAACTCTATGGAATATTAAATCTCTAAATATATTGACAGGTTTCGTTCTTTTTTTAAAAAGTCCTGACGGATTTCTAAATTTATTTTCTGCATCTAACATTAAATATTTATTTATTTCACTAAAAGAAAACTATTAAATAGTTTAATCTCTGTTGAAATAGTAAAGAAATGGAGCTAATTTAAAATAACTTAATCCACCCATTATCATATAAAAGATATAATATCCTATTTATATACATATGTTCTTTTTCGCTACTTATCTGAATTTAAATGTGTACATCCAAGTTCCACAATGTAGTAAAACACAAACAATTATAGATAAGAGATAACAATCTATATAAATGCCTAAATCTATTTCAATTATTTCAACTCCTTTAAATCTATAACCTTCTTTATCTTCCATCTCATTAAATGATTTATAACATAATGTAAAGATGAGTTCAAGCACATTTAAGATATAAATGAATACTTGAAATCCTATTTTAAAATAATATTTTTAGAGACTTGAACTTCTCTTAACTTCTTGATATTTAGATTCTATAAAGTCTTAGAACTCACTATATAATTTTTTTTCTTAATGTTAATCCCAAGTTAAAACAGGATCAGGAGGAGGTCTGAAATATTTGACTAAAGAAAACTCTTTTTTCTTTGCATTTTTATTTCCTTCAATAGGCTATTATTAATTTGTCTATATTAAAACCTAAAGGTATTAAATTAATATATACATTTTCTTCTGAATTCTAATTGTCAACCCTCATTGATAATTTTTCACGATTTGATTCATTCTGCTTTATTCTATCTTAATTTGATTCTTAAGCATTATTTTGCTCATCTTAAGTCTTTTTTACTTATTGCATCTTATTGAAAATATTAAAATATTTCTCTTTTAAAAGAAAAAATTTATACTAAATAATCAGCCAGAAAATAACAGAAAAATTTTTAATTCTACTATTCACTTAGCCATTAAGCATATAAATTTCTTGCTGAATTATAAACTAAAATGAAGTTCTAATCAAAATGAAGATTAATAATAATGTCTACTTTATAAATATTGTTAATTGAAATAATTTCTTCAAACAAACAAAGAATGTTTGAAATTTTTCAGACAAGCAAATACATAACATATATGCATTTTATTATCTTATAAAAAGTTGTATTGCAAGATCTTTCTTAAGAAAAAGCCTTCTTTTCAACATTTATCCTAAATTCTTAGACAAATAAATCAAAAAGGTGTTTTTAACTGATTAAAAAGTGAATTTTACACTTTACAACATAATGTCTCATCTAATTTATCATATTCAAAATTCATACTTATATCATTTACTTTAAATCGAAAACTTTAACATCCAATCCAAATATAATATTACCAAGCGTAACTGTTAAATGTAAAAGTTGTGATCATGTTTATAAGTGTTTATATTTTTAATTATTTTTGGTCTGTAACAATAAAAAAATCTACTTTGTTTAATAATCATTTTTAATGTTTTAAAAATATAAGAATAATCTGTAAAAACTTGTTTTTTTTGCTAAATCCTGTAAGAAAGCTATTCTATATAATTAAAGGAAAGATCATTTTTTCAATTATGATCATATATAATTAATCCCCTAAAGAATTAAGCTTAAAATGATATCCTGTTTAAAGGATATTTATATATGGTTTTACTATTGGAAATCTTATAAAACTATGCTTAAATTTACAAAATATAAATATTGAAATTAGAACATAATTTTTAATAGTAAATAGAGAGGTTTTTTATTAAATTTAGTGCTTTAACAATATAAAATTTAATTAATGAAAATCTTATTTATAAATCAAATAATCAAAGAAAGAATAAAATGAATTATCTTAATTAAAAATATTAAATAACAGTCATTTTTATAATTTTTATAAGTGAAAAATTCGTTCAACCTTCATTTTTTCAAATATTCGAAAAAGATATCTTTGTTTATATTGTTAAAAGAAATACGATTAAAGAAATTAGAAATTTAGAAATTTAGAAATTTAGAAACAAAACAGATAATTAAAAATATATTGGGATAACTTTTGGCAGAATAGATCTAAATTCTTTAAATTATTTTTATATAGTTATTTTCACTACAAAGAGATTTATTGAATAGTTTGATAAAATTTTATTATATCATTAAATTTTGTAATTCTTTTAGTTTCTACTCACTATTTACAAAAATAACACATATTGAAAATAAATATGCGAGAAGAATTATAGTTTTGAGAGTTCTCAAAATAATTATGTAATAAAAATTGAGTTTCATAGCACAATAATAAACCAAAAAAAAGAAAAATAAATTTATAATTTTTATTTTTATATGTCTTATATATTCATAAGAATAATTATTAATTATATATTTTCTAATCTATTATTAATATCTTGAATCTTTTGTATTATGTTTTTTGATACTCAATAAATAAATTTATTCAAATTAAAAAAACAACTCAAACTAAAATAATAATAGATTTTTTGTTAAATTTAACAATTTCAATAATATTTTAATATGAACATAATTTCAAAGCATCACAATTTCTTAATTACAAATAGGACATTTTGAATTAGTTTCTCTCCAAATTCCAATACAATTAAAATGAAACTTATGTGAGCAATTAAGTTACAATATTTCATTATCATTTAATTTTTATTTGCAAATACAACATTCACCTTCTTGTATCAAATCTATTTAATCTTGATTGGTATGACTACCAAAACATTTAGAATCACCGCCATCATAACAAGCTATTATTAACTCTAATACTTTATAAAAATAAAGATAAGACACAAAGCTTAGTTAATACATTATAATCCAAAATATTTATGTATTTGTAAACAATAAAATGAAACCTAAACCATCTAGAATTATATCTAAAATTATATGGTATTTAAATTAAATTTCGAAAACAAATTAAAATTCATGATCAAAAAATATATTCATTCCATTACTCATTATCCTTAAAACCAAATAAATAATATCATAAGTTTGAGGATTATAAGACCATATAATTCTTAAAAAAACTAATGATATAATTAATTAAATTGATGGACTGAGTAAAAATATTTAACTTTCCACTTTTCCATTTTTAAAAATTTCAAATTTAGACATAAAAGTTAAAATAAAAGTAAAAAAATATACCAAAATACTAGGTATAAAGAAAATCTCAAGTATAAAATAATTAATGAATTATTTTTCATATTCCAACAATATGAAAGCAAAAACTTGATTTAAAATTTATAAAGTTACATTTATAGGGAATAATTTCTTAAAAATATCTTTCAAAAAGGATTAAATTAAATAAAATAAATATTAAAATAACCTAAATGAGAAGTAATATAAACCTAACATTTTGTATTCAAAATTTCCATGATAAATTAAAATAAACAAAGCCATCCCAAAATTTATAAATAATATAATCCTCATAAACCATAGACAAACTTTATCACTTTAATCTTCTTATGTAGATAAAGGTATTAAATATTAAAAAACACAGTACATTGTAAATAGAAAATACAATATCATTCCTTCTTCTAATTAAAGAATAATAATCCAAAAAATCAAACACTAAATATCAAAATTAAATGCATGTTCAATATTAAGAAAAAATAAGCCATAAATATTTAAAAGGAAATTTAAATAAGTTAATTAAAAATATTTTTCCTTCATCTTAAAAACATTACAAATTCTTTTATAAAATGCAGAATATAAATATTCAAAAATTCTCAAATAAAAATAGGATTAAATATAGTAATTTTATTCATAGTTAAACTAAAGCAATGATAAAGCCAGAAAAGAAGTAGAAGCTTAAATAAGATTTATCACAAAAAATTATTTAATTTTCGAGATTTATTAATTAGATTCTTTTCTCTTTTTGAAAGTATTTATTAAGAATTCAATTTTAAAAAATTAATTGACTATAATAGCAATAAAAGGTCCTATCGAAAGAAGCCAAAATAATATTTTTCCAAAATTTCCCAAATTGTAATAAAGGAAATATAATATCCAAAATACTTAAAAAATTGGATTAAAAAGTGGTATAAGATTAATAACAATTTATATTAGAATAATCTAAAATATCAAACCATTTGAATTTAAAAATTATAATCCAACTAAATCCATTGTTAAATTTAGAGGGAAATGAATAAGCCATAAACGAGAGCTAAATTTGAATTGATGATTCTCTGGCAATAATAAAATAATCAATAAATGAAGAACATATTGTATTTCTCTCCCAATAAAATAATATCCTTCATTTTGTTTGTATTCTAATCTATTGCAAATCAAATTATAAGTATTAATTCCTAATTACAATATACAATAAACAGCTATCCAGATTTCTTATTTGTACATCTCAAATATGATAAATAATTTATTATTATTTAATCATTCTATTTAATTGCTTTAGTATTTAAGTAAAATCATATTATTTAAAGGAATAGATACCATACTATCATCTACTAATTTGTATCATATTTTAATCAATAATCTAGCTAACCTTTCTGATTTATTTTATTATTTTTTTAAAGATTTTTATCATTTTCATTTAAATATAAAAATTCAAGTATTTCTAGATTTCTGAATCTTCCATTATTTTTTCTAATTCTCCTCAACATTATATTTTTTCCCCCCTATAATAATAATGATTTCATTATTCTCTTAATGTTTAAAAATTGAATAATTATAACTCAATTAAAAATAAATAGTAATATTTTCACAAATTTTTTATAAGATAACTAATTTTTTTCATAAGATTCAACTAATAGGCATATATTCAAATTAATAGTATTAATTACATCAGATTTCACTTAACAAATCATAATAGTGACAAAATTTTAAGAAGTTTAATTTATTTTAACTAAGTTCACCGAAATTTTTTCGATAAAAGGTTCATAGTTTCCCTTTATAAAAATTTAAGGTGAATTAAAAAAAATAGAAATCACTCTTAATTTACATACATAAGATTTAATATCATTTTTTGACAAATTAAATTATCTTTACTTAGAGAATTGAGAAGAAACCAATTCAAGGAAACATAAAATTATTCTGATAGTTGATTAATTTATAACAAATTCTGCCCATGATAAATTAAAATAAATATTTTTTAAAGCGAAATCTTACTTTAACTATAAAAGATTATTATAAAACTACATTTGAATGAACATTTAAATTAGCATAAATATTAAAATTAAAAAAAAATTAATGGAGATTTATTATTATTTTAAAACTCATCTTTTTAACTATGTAATCAAATATTATCAAATAATTTGGCTTAAATAAAGTGATTCTTAATATTTCTAATTATCATCAACTATTATTAAAGAAGATACTAATGATATGTGTACTTTTAGGAAAATAGGTTAATTTCAGAAGTATAAGCATTTAAATTTAAAATAGTATAATTGACTTTTAAGATTCAGTTATATTTTTAAAAGGTAAAAGGATTAATTTATTAATTGATTAAACAAAAATAAGAAACCCTTACCCTTTCTACAAAATAAGATAAAATAATTTTCATGATGATGTTAATAATTTTCTCAGTATATTAAAATATAAAAATTCAATAAAAATGAATATTATGTTTTCAATTGTGTTTTTATAAAAATATTTTTTTATTATTGAAATAAAGAGATTTTTATAAATGGCAAGTATAAGAAGTTCATTAACATTTTCATATTAAATTATGGCTTTAGATCTAAAATAGAGTGATGAATATATTAGAGAGAGGATATATAATAATACTTATAAGAATATAATATTCAATTTGAATCATGCTATGATTTAAAGATACTTCCATCAATGTTCGGGTTATCTAATTAAATAGACACTCATAATTGATTAAGAATTATTTTTATAGTTTTTTTTTTTAAAACAATTTTTTCTAAATTCTCATTAATTACCTAAAAAAATTCTAGAAATAGTAGAATAAAAATTGGTATTTTAAGAGATCCAAAATTTGAACTGAATCAGAATTAAAAAATTTCATTTCAAAAAAATGAAAATACTTTAAAAACTGTTTTTAAAATTAAATAAATAATCTAATTTTTAAATAATGTATTTTTAGGAATAAGAAATATAATTTTCAAAGTAGTGTCATATAAATCTTACTTTTTGAATTTAGCTACAAGAATTGTTGAAATTTTAAATATTTTTTGTTTTTCCTTGAAGGAAGAAAGTAATTTAGAGCATCAAATATTAGATTAATTTTTAGAAAAAAGTAGTTCTCTTTTTATTGTTTCTTAATGGTTTTTTTAAAGAAATACTTAAAATAATATCTGCTTCCTCAATAAGAGATCAAGAATATTTAGCTAATAGAAATATCTAAAATAAACATTAAAATAGTAGACTCAAGTAAAGATTTTTAAATGAAATAAGATGAAGACTTTGTCTCATCCATAATTTCTTATTCTTCTCCCAACATTATACTAAATTATTATATTCACTATAAAAATCACTTTTTCAATTACTTAATCTTCTATCTACTAAAGTTCTGGCATTAATTGAATCATAATTATTATATTTTTAATAATCTATCTATATATCAATACTTGAATTAATTGTTTGTGGAATTAAAATATAAGTTTTAGTGAAAATACTATGTAAGCAAGGCTCTTTTTAATAGTTTAATTTATATTTTAAGTTTATGATAGTTCTAATATCCTGGTGTAAGATAAAAAATACAGAAATTTTTATTTTTATTTAAGTCGAACCTTTTTCAGTATACTAATATTGTTTAAATTATTTAAATTAATAAATAATAATATATTTATTTTTAAATACAAAAAGAATGGGAAATTAAATATTGAAATCAAAGTTTGATGACCATCAAAAATTCGATGATAAAATGCAATGGTATAAGTTTTAATAAAATAAACAAGCATAGCTGAATATGATTATTAATCTTTAGAAACTAAATATTACGAAGGCCAAATATGGGATCACTTTACATAAAAATTTATAATAATCAAATTCCAAATTCAATATATAGACAATAAAGAAATTAGATATATAGAGAATGGGTAAATTCTAAGGATGTATTCTTTTTAAAATAAAATTTAAAAATAGAGAATAGATAACAAATAAATAACAAGCACCAGAAATAATCATAAATTTAGATTAAATTAAGTATTTGTAATGGAAAGGAATTTATGGAAATAATATGAATAAAGTTGGTAAATGGAAAGCAATTTGGAATGGTGAAACTTTAGATAATGTTACAGGTTGGTATTCAAAGATTGGAGAAAAACAAGGTTTATGGATGGAATTAATACAAAAATTTTCGAGGTCAGTTTTTTAGAAATACTTAGTTAAGCATAAGTTTATGAAAAAGGAGAATATTGTAATAATTTTAGAAGAGGTAGATGGAATTATATTTATGGAAATTAATAAATGTATTTTGTGAAAATATTCGTATATTAGAGGTGGAGGGTATTATTCATAAAATTTAAATTAAAAAATTAGAAAATGGGTTGAAATTTCTGATAATTTTTGGAGGTTATTAAATTTTTTGATTATTAAAAATTAGAAATAGTTAAATTCTATAAAATGGTGAATATATTAATGGAAAGAAAGTTGGTTTATGGGATATTTACTGGAGATTAGAAGAGAATGGTCCATTTAAATTAATGTAAAATACTAAATCAATAATATTAATTAGTGGTTGTGGTTTATATGATGAAAGTTAAGGATTGAAGAATGGGTTATGGTATGAATTAAGTGATAAATTTTGGAGGTATAATTTAATATTGTATAATAAGCAATAATTAAGTAATTTATTATGGAGAATATAAAAATAATTGTAAAATTGGTAAATGGGATATTCTTTGGAGATTAAATTAATATTGTGAGTTTATTAGGATGTAAATTTATATAAATAATAAAAATTAGAGGTGGTGGATCATACAAATAAGTTTAAGGACAGAAGTAGGGTAAATGGATAGAATTGAATGATTAATTCTCTAAGTAACATATAATTTATTAAATAGTGAAAATTAAATAACATTTTAAGGAGAATATTAAAACGGAATGAAAATTGGACACTGGGAAACATTATTTTAAAACTAATAGATGTAAAAACTAGATTTATCTAATCATTTTTAGAGGTGGTGGATTATTTAATGAATAAAATGGTTTAAAAAAAGGAAAATGGATTGAATTGGATGATAATTTTTAAAGGTATAAAATTTAATTTTTAAATCATATAACAGTATAAGTTAAGTAACTTATTGTGGAGAATATAATAATGGTAAAAAATTCGGTAAGTGGAAGATTTTTTAAAATGATTTACAAAAGAAAAAGAAGGATTTAATGTAAAAATTTATTTTATTAATCAAATTGTCATAGTGGTGGTGGATAATATTTTGAGCTTAAAGGATTTAAAACTGGATTATGGATTGATATTATAGAAAATTTTTGTAGGTGGAATATTTTGACTATTTGAGTAGTATAAATTAAATAACTTATTCTGGTAAATATATAGATGATAAGAAAATTGGTAAATGGAAAACCTTCTTCAAAGATTCCCTAATGAAAAAAAAAGAATAATTGTATAAATTTATTTTATAATGAAAACCTTCCAAAGTGGTGGTGGATTATATGATGAGTTAAATGGATGTAAGACAGGAAAATGGATTGAATTAGGTGATTAGTTCTTAGAGTAATATATCCTTATTATTAATTAATAAGATTGAGTTCAATTACTTAAATAGGTGAATACAGACAGGGTCTCAAAATTGATAAATGGGAGATTTATAAAAAAGATTATTCTAAAAGGATAAATCATAAAGTGTATAAAATAAATATATTTTAAGTAGTGGTGGTGGAACATTTAATGAGTAAGGTTAGAAAACTGGTTATTGGATTTAATTGGATGAAAAATTCTAGTATTAGTTAACTATTATTAAATAATTTAGCTATACAAAAAATATGGTTTAAGGTGAATATATCGATGGAAGAAAGATTGGGAAATGGCATGAGACAGCCATAGATCATAGCAAATTCTTTTACTCTTTTAATTAAATGTTAATTTCTAATTTAATAGGAAATCCAGCGATTTAAATTTATATAATGATTGAAGAAGTGAACCAAAGAGTAATAATTAACTTAATTCAATCTTTAACATCGTATATAAATTTATATATTTCTTATTATTCAATAATAAAATTTTCATGTTGTTATTTATGTAACTCTGTGATTGTTTTTTTTAAATGAAATTATGATTGATATAAAATTATTTAATATCTAATTCTAATTCATGGGTTTTATTTAAATTTGATATTCTTCATTTTATTTTTATTAGGAAATTCAATAATAAATATAATAATATTGCTAATATAAAATAATTTCTATAGAAATCAAAAAAATTAAGATGCTAGTTAATATATAAAATTTTAAAGAAGAATATGAAGAATCTAATATTAGAATAAAATAATTTAGTTATGAAATTTTAGAATCAATACCCATATTTAAATTGTAATGCAACTCATTAGCATTTGATAATTCATCAACTTTAATTATCGCTGGTTTTAAGCATATTCTTAAGATATTTACATTTAATAGTGAAAAATTGGCATTAATTCCTTTTTAAAATATTTATAATTCAACAATAACATGTTTAGAGGGTTTAAAATAATATAATTTATTTTTCTTTGCATTTTCAAGTGGTTAATTTTAATTATCTAGTAATGTAGGTCTTAATAATGGAAAATATATTTAAAAATTAAAAAATCATTCATATCCAATCTATTACTTAAAATAAAGCAACAATTCAGAATCTATTATATCATGTGATGATTGGAAAGTTTCGTTTTGGATAAAAAGGGATTTATGGTAATAAATATATATTTATACAAATAATACAAGAATTTGTGCAATAAGCTTTAATGAAATAGGAGATAAACTAATTTTATCAGATTATAACAAGAATATATTCACATTTATAAAAAGGGGAATATAATGGATAAAGCTCTAAAGTATTTCATTAGGAACAAGAGGCTAAGGAATATGCTTTATTGGAAATCAATCTTTTATAGTTTAGCCAGAATTTAAAACATTATATTTGTACAAATTTATTGATGAAAAATAAGGCTTCATAAAACAAAGGGAACTAAAAATTAAAACTTATGGCAACTGGGGATCTAGAAAATTCAAACAAACATTCATTTAAGATAAGAAGATACTTATAAATAAGGATGAAACATCATTAAATTTTCTTTAAATATCAGATCAACTAGGAGTGGTGAATGAATTTTAGATCTAATTTTATGATTCCTCTGCATAAAGCACTCTAAATAAAAATGGATCATATTTAATTACATGGGATAATTATACAAAATGCTTAAAAATGTATAAGTACTAAAACTGATAAAATAATTTTAAATAACCTATAAATTTATTTATTAAAGAATAATTTTATTTTTATTATCGTCACATACTAACATACTTTTGAATAATTGTTAAATTGATTATTAATTAAACTACTTTAATGAAAAAGTACAATTCTAGATAAGAACATATAATGGGATTTTGTTAAATAATTTTTTAGGTGTGAGATTCAAATTTAAGGTGTGGTCAATTTTTAATAGTTATTTATTTAATATGTTCAATTAGATTTACCATTTAAAGTATCAATTTTCTTGCTGCTACTTTTACTATTTATTAAAAGAAAAATAAAATTCAAAATTTATTCCATATCAAAAATACAATAATCATTAATATTATAGCTAAGATTTATATGAGTTTTTTGTTATAACATCCATAATCAATTAATTTTATTTCTTTTCTCCATTTATTATTCACAATATTTTGAAAATTTATTGATGGGGGTATCAACAATATATTAATAAAAATAATTTAAAAAAATATCACATATTAACAAAAATAGTAGCAGAGAATTGAAATTTCTTAGTTTTAACAACTTAATATATTGAACGAAAATATATGCTTAGAATATAATTGAATAGGAAATATAATGTAACATTCTGCTGAAAAATAATGTAATTTTCTGCTGATTTGTAATATTAAATAAATATATATTTTAATATTTTTGAATATGCAAAATTTGTAAGAATACTCAGACATTTAAATATAAAATATGTAATATCTAAGTCTAAGTCTAAACATAATTTTGCACTACTTGAACAATTGAGATCTCAGAATCTGAAATTGTTATTGTTAATTTCTAATTGGCTGAAGTGTCTGGAGTATATTTAGCAAAATATGAAACTAAATTGATATTCGCATGACAAAAGTGATTAAATTGATAGTTCTGATTTCCAGAGCAACCATTACATTTGCGAAAAAAACTTCTAATTTTTTTTCCATTGAAACATTTCATTTAAACATTGATGAAAATTGTTGAATAAGTCTTATCAACAAAAATAGTGTAAACACCATTTGAACTATAGCTTTAATTGATTTATGGCATTTATATTTATATATTTGGACTAGTGATGGCACCCAAATCAAATTTGGATGAAATTCTGACAGTTAACAATAACATAAAAGTAGCTTATTAATTAGAGACTAAAGACATCCAAATTCTCAAATGAGTATTTGGTGAATATGGATGAGTACTCCCTAATTTAAGATAAAATTAATTACAAGAATTAATAGTGTAAGAAATAATTGTGGATGTGGTAGTTTTTTATTACAATAAACGAATATTTTCATCTTGTGGATTCCTAATTGCCACAGTTGGAGTTAAAAGCCATTTATTTGTCTATATATTAATATTACCACTATTATATGAACTTGTTGATTGAATTTCTAAGATATTAATTGCATCTTATCTTCCTAATATTATCTAATATCCAATCTGTTTAAGATTTTCAAATTTTCCAGGCACATTAGATAGTTCAACTGTTACAGTTGTCAATGTTATTGATGTAATCTAAATAAAATTAAGAAATACTTAAAGGGTATAATCAAGTGAACCTTAAGCTCCAAAGCTTATTGGAGATATAAAACCAATTTCAGCATTAGTATTTTGATGAGAAAATGTTTAAGTGGTTGTTGGATTGTCAAGATTAAATTAGTTTATTACTTTAACTCTTTGATCATCCATAGCATACCAATCGAAATAAAGAACAAAAACTCTCATTTTTGGACAACTTATTTAAACTTTAAAATCTAAATATATATTATGTCAATAACTAGTTAATGTTATGCTATTGATTTCTAACCTCACATCAACTTCATCGGTTTTATCAATCTCCCATCTTGATAAAATAATGAAAACTTATGGGATATTCTAAAATTATCCTGAAAATGAAATTGTTTATGTAGTAGAAAACGAATTAGCACAGTTGTCAGTAGTGTCTACCCCTTTTTTGAATCCAGAATCATAAGTTATTCCTTAAGCAATTTTAAATAAGATCAAAAATAAGTAAATTTCTTTATTCATATTTATATTTCATTTTTAATTTCTTTCATCAATTTATAGATGTATTAATAAATATGTATTAGGTAATGGTATATTTAAGAATACTAAAACTTAGAGGAATTTATTGGGAAGGCAAGATGAGGAATAAAATTCTAAAACAAATTTTTATTAAAAATTTCTTGGTGGTTCATGTTCTGTTTTAACAATGTCCAATTAATTGTCCTAGTCTTATTCTCCTATATTGCATGGACTATATGTGTTAGAAATTAATATAGTGGATATATCTTAAATAACAATTGAATTAGCTGAATAAATTTCTTTGCTTTTCAGGCTGCTTTATTTTTCAAACTTGAAACACTTTTCAATTTTGTAAGCTGATTAGTCTATTCTTATTTTGACAATTCTGGGTTGTTTTGGCGATAATTATAACTTTATATTTATAAATGGTAAATTGGTCTAGACTATCCTTCTACTTTATAGTTTTGTGTTTGTGATTGTTAAATTTTTTGTGATTGTCAGATTGTTTATGCTATTTTTTATTCTCCTTTGAATATATGGATGTTGCTGCTGTTTCTTGAAATTTGTTTAAAACTTCTTATACAATCCTTACTCTCTCTTATATTTCAATTTTATTGATCAAAACTTGTGATAGACACAAAGAACTAACTCAATAGTATTTTAATTTATTATTTTTAAATTTACTGTCTAGATTCTTCTTCTTAGAGAACCTAAAACAATTTTTGTTAACAATTTCTACCTATTTACAATAAAATATCTAATTTTGCAATGTATATCTATAAAATTGCCCTAAAGAGTCATTTAAAATAATACTGTTATCATTATAATGTTAAACAAAAAAAATGGAAGGTCTAAATTTTTATATATTTTTATCGTGTCTCTTTCATTTTAAGTTTGCTTTATCTTTTTAAAAAACTAATTATATTTAAGTATTTTAGGTACAAATATATTGATTTCCATTCTTTGCTCTTGATTTTTCTTCTAAAAAAAATTTCTTTCCTTTCGAAATATTGATGCTCCATTCACTTTACAATTATAACATTTTGCTTGCTTCAAATTATGAATATAATACCACTTGGTTTGCATAAATTCTTCTTTAAGCATTAGATTTGATTTAACACTAAAAAACTATTTTACAATAATTTTGCTTATAAATATTTAATTTCCTCATTTGATATTCTGGTCATACACTTCTTTTTAAACTAACTATAGTTTGATTAGCATTGCTTATTTCTAATAAAATAATTTTTTATTCTAAAATTTTTCTAATTTACAAAATTTAAATTATATCATTTTTAATGATTAAATATAAACTGATATTTTTATTGAAGTGAAGATAGATTAAAACAGGATATTATATGGGAATGAAAACCGAAAAAAAGCTAGAAGAAATAAAACATAATAAATTCATTATTATAATCTAAACACTCAACTATCCCTTAAAGTCATAATTAATAGTCAATACAGTGCTAATTTCGAATATTGGAATCAATATTTTCAAGGAATGACAAGTTTAAATGCTTTTAAGATCAAATAGAATATCAATGAACAACCATATAGAGTTGGTGTAGCTTAGTAACTATAATATTTATTTCTAGTTGTTGTTTAATAGATAAGTGCAAAAGTATGAAGGGATAAAAGTTAAGCATGTTTAAATAAACATTAGTTTGATTGTTGGTGTTTCATGAAGAGAATGATTATCTTTGGTTAATTATATTTGATGGTTAAGCAGAAAGAGTACTATTAAATCTATTAAAATATCAAAGGCAGTTTAATTAGCTTTAGAAGAGTTATAATAGATAATTGATGTGAATTCTATATTTTTATTATCTGATGGTGAACATCCAACTGCATTTTTATAAGTTTAAAAAGTGTTTTAAAGGTTAAAGATGTTTTTTCTTTTTATTGTTTCGGATTTCGAAGAGATAATGATTCTGTTATGATGAAATCTATTTATAATTTTAAAAAATGGTAGTTTTTACCTGGAATGAATTCTTTACAGGAAATAATTAGAAATTTTAATTTAATCAACTCCCCATTATATAAGATTTATGGAAAAATATGGCAAAATATAGATAAAGACTACATAATCAAATTACCACTTATTTAGAAAGGGTTAAGTAAAGATTTTGAATTTCAGTGATGCTGCCTATTTGTTAGAATATTAATGAAAAAGAACTAAAAGTTCTTGATGTAATATAAGTAATTTAAAAAGATGCAAGTTTAGTTGTTAAATTATTAATTGTGATAATCAAAAATATTTAGAATGAATAATATTTGGATGTTTTAAATTAATATTTTAGGTTAAAGGAAACGAAACTATTTCAGAAGCTAAACGATTATGTGAAAAGGAAAAATTTGATATAATCATGTTTTACATTGTGATTATATTCAATATTTTATTTAATAATTATTGTTTATTAATTTAATCACTTTTGATAATCAAAGTAAATAAGCCTTTGGTTAATTATCAAGAAATAGAATTCAATCTCTATTTAACTCACAATGCAACAGTTATCTTCCACTAAATCTTCATACTCAAAACTCAATGAATGAGAAATTAAATATTAGAATAAAGATTTTCATAGTATAGTGACTTATTTGATTTTGAAGATAATAATATAAAGAAGCATCCAAAAATATCATTCTGGCTTTGATTAAATCTTGTCAAAAATCTATTCAAATAAGAATACTTGTAAAGTGTGGATTAGATTTCTTTGTTCAGGACAATTCCTATCTTTATAGAACATATTGTTAAAAATAAAAAATAAAAGTATTATGAATAATGGGAATGATTTTATAATAAAAATTATTAATATAAATTTTATGATAATTAATTTAATATTCAATTATATACATTAAATATATTGAATGAATTTTATATTAAACTTCTTTATTTATAAAAATAAAATCATAAAAACAAATTAGTTTTCTAATTTAAAAAGATTCCCTATATGACACCCAATATTGCTATTAAAGAATCTGAATATTAAAATATAAATTTGTTTCCTAGTTGAAAAGCATAACAATATTCTGATAAGTAATTTAGAAAAATCCTAAAAATAATTAATTAGATATTTAGAAAGGTCAATAATGAATGATTGATCTATAGATAAATTATTGTAAAACAAAATTAATTAATACTGTCTATCTATGAATGAAAAGGACTGTCTTAATATTTTTGTTTCACTTCAACAACATGAGTCACATTAAATTTGGTAGAAGTTTTGATTAAATACCATTAAACTGCTTTTATTGTTATTTTTGTGGCTTAAATATTTTCTATTAAATTAAATTAATAAAAAAGTTGTTAAATAAATTATTGAATTGTAATTTTATATATTAAATCAATCTTTCTTTTAAATTAAACATAAATAGAACAAATTTTATTAACAGAAAGTTTTAAAATTAAACATGAGTTGCTGATTATGAAATCTTTAAGATAATTTAGAATAGTTACATTAGTACTTATTAATCAAATAATAATCAGCAATTAAATAATAACATTCTGATAAATTCTTAGATAAGTTCTCAATTTATTCTTTTTTGGATGTAATAGAAATTCAATAAAAAATGAAAAAAAGCAATGATTTTCAAAATGTAAATGTAAGAGGTTCAAAAAAACTTAGAATTTNTTATCAAGAAATAGAATTCAATCTCTATTTAACTCACAATGCAACAGTTATCTTCCACTAAATCTTCATACTCAAAACTCAATGAATGAGAAATTAAATATTAGAATAAAGATTTTCATAGTATAGTGACTTATTTGATTTTGAAGATAATAATATAAAGAAGCATCCAAAAATATCATTCTGGCTTTGATTAAATCTTGTCAAAAATCTATTCAAATAAGAATACTTGTAAAGTGTGGATTAGATTTCTTTGTTCAGGACAATTCCTATCTTTATAGAACATATTGTTAAAAATAAAAAATAAAAGTATTATGAATAATGGGAATGATTTTATAATAAAAATTATTAATATAAATTTTATGATAATTAATTTAATATTCAATTATATACATTAAATATATTGAATGAATTTTATATTAAACTTCTTTATTTATAAAAATAAAATCATAAAAACAAATTAGTTTTCTAATTTAAAAAGATTCCCTATATGACACCCAATATTGCTATTAAAGAATCTGAATATTAAAATATAAATTTGTTTCCTAGTTGAAAAGCATAACAATATTCTGATAAGTAATTTAGAAAAATCCTAAAAATAATTAATTAGATATTTAGAAAGGTCAATAATGAATGATTGATCTATAGATAAATTATTGTAAAACAAAATTAATTAATACTGTCTATCTATGAATGAAAAGGACTGTCTTAATATTTTTGTTTCACTTCAACAACATGAGTCACATTAAATTTGGTAGAAGTTTTGATTAAATACCATTAAACTGCTTTTATTGTTATTTTTGTGGCTTAAATATTTTCTATTAAATTAAATTAATAAAAAAGTTGTTAAATAAATTATTGAATTGTAATTTTATATATTAAATCAATCTTTCTTTTAAATTAAACATAAATAGAACAAATTTTATTAACAGAAAGTTTTAAAATTAAACATGAGTTGCTGATTATGAAATCTTTAAGATAATTTAGAATAGTTACATTAGTACTTATTAATCAAATAATAATCAGCAATTAAATAATAACATTCTGATAAATTCTTAGATAAGTTCTCAATTTATTCTTTTTTGGATGTAATAGAAATTCAATAAAAAATGAAAAAAAGCAATGATTTTCAAAATGTAAATGTAAGAGGTTCAAAAAAACTTAGAATTTCTAACCATATTGCAAGCCTTTAAGCTTAATAAATGCTTATGAGGGCATAATTAAAAAAATATGAAGAATATTTATAAAAAAATTATCATGATAGAGAATTACTTAATGTGTCAAAAAGTCATCCTAAGTACAATTACTTGATCAAATTAAGAAACCCAGAAGAAATCAGAATAGAAAAAATCATTGATTAAGGTAAAAATTCTATCAAATATAAAGCTAAAAACCTATTCATTTCTAAATAATATTGTGAAACTATCATATTGTTAGACTCAACAACTGCATCTTCAAAAAATTGCTAAGCTACTATTTTATAACATAAAAGTATACATTTTACTAGTTTTTAAGTAAGAGCCTTAATTATTTTGGAATTATTCGAGATATCATTAGTCAATATAGATAACCTACTTTAGATTAAACCTGAAGTTGTTTATTACATTATTAAATGTATTTCAATTATCAATTATAAGTTTTTATCTTATATTTGATGAAACAATTTTATAAGGCAAAATAATCTCTTTTGGAAGCATCTAAATTAAATATTGAAGAATTAGCAAAATTTATGAATCCGTTAATTCCTGATTATAATATGAATCAAACTCACTAAGTTGAAAATGAAAATGCTCAGCCAAAATTTTTTAGTAATTAATATAATTATTTAAATTAGTTTAAAATGTTGAATAATATATAACTGCTATCCTAAATTTTAGGCAAGACAGAGATGATGAAAATTTTAAAATCTTAAAAATGTTAAATATATCTGTTTTCAATTAAGAATCTTTGAATTAGAAAAATTATTTAGATAATTTTAGTACTTAGGCTAAACAATTTTGTGATATTTAAATTGGCAAAAATCTATCAAATTTTATTTACATTCATCAAAAAGGTATAAATATATCATTAATCTTTAGCTATTTTATTAATTAAATTAAGGGATTATACTGGAGCAGAAAAACTATTATAGCATAACAAAAACAATAATCTTGAAAATCAATAATATGTTCAGACATATGGTTTATATTTTATGTGTATTATTGTAGCAAAGTTTTTGTATGATTAAAATGCATTAGATGAAAGCTTGTAGATGTGGAACCATTCCTTAAAAATAGATCCATAAAATTCTTACTCACACTATTTTAAAGGTATTATTTAAAATATTCTATTTAAGGTTTAACTTTATTTAAATAAAAAAATTATGAGAAAGCTCTGAAAAGTATTACAAAAGCTTCATAAATTTTACCTGAATGTGTTGAATTTATCAGTTGTAAAGGTTTACGTTTTTATTTAAATTAACTTAGCTGGTGTTTTACTAATTATAAAGCAATATGAAAAAGCCATTTAATTTTATAACAAAGCAATAAGCTTATCACCTAAGTAGAATTTTTACTATTATTATAAAGGTACATATTTTAAACAAATTTAGCAAATTGTTTGTAATAAATAGGGAAATTTGAAGAGTCTCTTCTAAATTATGATCTAGCTATAGAAATATATCCCTGGAAAGCTGATTTTTATTTATAAAAAGGTTTGATTAAAATAATATTTTAAGGCTAAGCGTTAGAACAATATGGTTAATTAGTTAAAGCACTTGAATACTATTGGAAAGCTATTGATTTAGATTCAGAAAATGAAATTTATTATTTGATACTTGGTTTTCCTTTCTTAATTATTAATTAGCAAGATGTTTAAATTTACAAAATAAATAATAAGAGGCAAAAAAAATTTTGTAAAAGTGCTTAAGGTCCATTCCATCCTCATTTCGAGTTTTTTTGGAGCTAGGTTCATCGAATATATAAATTTTAGGAGCTTTATTATTGTAATAGGGAAATTAAAAGAATGCCATAAATTCTTTTGAATATTCTTTAAAATAAAGTCAAAATAGTTCTGAAATAAGCTATGAAATTAGTAAATTTAATAATTAATTGAAGCAAAACATTTATATAATTAAGGTCTATTTAATCTAGCAATCTAATACATTAATTTAGCTATTGAAAAAGATTAAAACAACTAAGATTATATAATTTTAAAAGGTAGAGTATATATTAAAATTGTTAAGCAAAACTCACAGCTAACATCAATAATCCACAAAAAGCCTTGGATTATATTGAATAAAATATTCATGTTAAATAAAATAATCCCTATTACTTTTCTATTAAAGGTACTTTCTTATGTTAATTCAAGGCTATTTATTATTACAACAAAATAAAATTAATGAAGCCTTAGAATTTTTTGATAAAACCCTGAAAATATATCCTTATGAATCTGAAATTTTAACTTATTCAGGTTTTAAAAACTACTAATTATAGCTGAATGTTTACAGAAACTTGGGCGATTTAATGAATCTTTAGAAAGATGTAATCGTTCCATTTAAATAAAACCTTTAGCAAGCTCTTATAATTAGAAGGGTATATATAATATTGAAAATTTAGGAATCACATTAAAAGAAATGAAACGTCGAGAAGAAGCTTTAGATAATTATAATTTAGCTATTAAAATGAATCCGAAAGAACCTTTATTTTATTATCATAAGGGTCAGATTATTATTCAATTTTCAAGGTCTTCTTTTATTTGAAACATCACATTATAACAATGCTTTGTAATAATATGAAATAGCCCTATAATTAAATCCTGAATTATATTTGTGTCTTATCGAAAAATGTAAATATCTTGGATAATTATTATTCAGGCAGAACTTTAAATAAACTTAAATTAAAAAATTAAGCTCTAAAAGTATTTGAAAAAGTTTCATAGATGTCTCACTAACCTTAATACTCTATTTATCTTTTTAATTATGGTAATCTATGAGATTATATTTTAAGGTGTGTTGTTACAAGAATTAAATCTTTTTGAGGAAGCTTTATAGCTATTATGTTAAGCAACAAATTAAAATTAAAATCTTCCTGGAATCTTCAAGATTATTGGTATATATTAGAATCAATTTCTAAGTATAATCTTTAGTTGAAACTAATAAATATGATGAGGCTTTGAGTTTTGTTAAGGAATTCAAAAATAATAATTACCAAGATTATCATAGTTATAAAGGTTAAAATTTATTACTAATTTAGGAATTATATTAATCAATAAAAAATGCTATTAAAAAGCTCTAAATTGTTTTTAAAAGGCTATTTTGAGAGATTCATCAAGTTATTCACTTTATTATCATAAAGGTATGTTTTGATTAACTAATTTTAGGTATTGCTTTATTGTAAATTTATTTTGAGCATTATACTTAATCTAAATAATTCTCAGGAAGCACTTGAAGCGTTTGAACAGAGTATAATATATAATCCTGAATAATTTTAAAGCTTTAATCAAATTGGTTAGTATTAATCATACAATTTAAAGGTGTCTTGTTATTTAAATAGAAAAAATATGAAGATGCTTTAAAATATTTTCAAGATGGTTTGCATAGAAAACCCTAATCATCAACCTTTTACGGAAATTTAGGTTAAATTATGTTTATCAAATAGCAATCACATTAACTAAAATTCTATAGTATGAGAATGCTTTGAAATATATAGAAAATGCCATAACTTTAGAACCAAATAATCATAAACTAATCAATCAAAAAGGTATTTTAATAAAAATTTATTTTAGGCTTATTGTTAGCATAAATGGGAAGAAGAAAAGAAGCTATTAAATTTTTTTAATAAAATATATCTTAATATCCAGATAATCCAATTTATTATATAAATAGAGGAAAGATTATTAATTAAATATTCTAGGATATATTTTGGCGAAATACTAAGAAGAATAAGAAATTATCAACTTTGATTAAAATGAAAATGCAGTAATTAACTATAAATTTGGTACTTAATTAATTGATTTGGAATTTAATTAATAATAAGAAATCCAAGATCAGCATTTTATGTCTCTCATTAATTATAATTTTGGTAAAATATAATTATTATCTCAAGGAGTTGCACTATTTAAAATAAAGAAATATGATGAAGCAATTATAAAATTCGATAACGCACTTAAATTGGATGCAACTTTAGTTTAATCTTACTTAATGAAAGGTAAATTCGATGTTTGAAATAATTTAGGAGAAATCTTAAGATAAATGGGATTACATGAAAAAGCGCTTGAATGTTTCTGCATCGACTTAAATCATATAAATAATGCTGATGATTTCAAGGCATCATACTTATATTAAAAAGGTGCAATTTTATGAATTTATTTCAGGATTAACTTTATTTTATTTAAATAGATATCTTGAAGCTATAGATTAATTTGATAAATCTTTATCTATTAATATACATCAAAATGGACTCTCTCATAATATGAAAGGTCTTATTTTTAAGTTATTTCAAAGCTCTCTCATTAATGGAAATAGGAGATCTAGATTCAGCTTTATTTTTTATAAACTAAGCAATAAATAATAACTCATAAAATTCTGCTATAAGATTCAATAAAGGTAAAACTCNCTTAATCTAAATAATTCTCAGGAAGCACTTGAAGCGTTTGAACAGAGTATAATATATAATCCTGAATAATTTTAAAGCTTTAATCAAATTGGTTAGTATTAATCATACAATTTAAAGGTGTCTTGTTATTTAAATAGAAAAAATATGAAGATGCTTTAAAATATTTTCAAGATGGTTTGCATAGAAAACCCTAATCATCAACCTTTTACGGAAATTTAGGTTAAATTATGTTTATCAAATAGCAATCACATTAACTAAAATTCTATAGTATGAGAATGCTTTGAAATATATAGAAAATGCCATAACTTTAGAACCAAATAATCATAAACTAATCAATCAAAAAGGTATTTTAATAAAAATTTATTTTAGGCTTATTGTTAGCATAAATGGGAAGAAGAAAAGAAGCTATTAAATTTTTTTAATAAAATATATCTTAATATCCAGATAATCCAATTTATTATATAAATAGAGGAAAGATTATTAATTAAATATTCTAGGATATATTTTGGCGAAATACTAAGAAGAATAAGAAATTATCAACTTTGATTAAAATGAAAATGCAGTAATTAACTATAAATTTGGTACTTAATTAATTGATTTGGAATTTAATTAATAATAAGAAATCCAAGATCAGCATTTTATGTCTCTCATTAATTATAATTTTGGTAAAATATAATTATTATCTCAAGGAGTTGCACTATTTAAAATAAAGAAATATGATGAAGCAATTATAAAATTCGATAACGCACTTAAATTGGATGCAACTTTAGTTTAATCTTACTTAATGAAAGGTAAATTCGATGTTTGAAATAATTTAGGAGAAATCTTAAGATAAATGGGATTACATGAAAAAGCGCTTGAATGTTTCTGCATCGACTTAAATCATATAAATAATGCTGATGATTTCAAGGCATCATACTTATATTAAAAAGGTGCAATTTTATGAATTTATTTCAGGATTAACTTTATTTTATTTAAATAGATATCTTGAAGCTATAGATTAATTTGATAAATCTTTATCTATTAATATACATCAAAATGGACTCTCTCATAATATGAAAGGTCTTATTTTTAAGTTATTTCAAAGCTCTCTCATTAATGGAAATAGGAGATCTAGATTCAGCTTTATTTTTTATAAACTAAGCAATAAATAATAACTCATAAAATTCTGCTATAAGATTCAATAAAGGTAAAACTCAAGCTTAAAATAGCACTTATTTTAATAAAGTTGGAAAATTTATAAGAAGCTTTAATTGCCTTAGATGATGCGATATAAATAGATATGAATAACGTTAACTTTTACAATAATAAAGGTATAAGTTTACAATTAATTAAAAGGTTGGGTTCTAGAGAAACTTGGGAACTTGGAATCAGCCAAATAAAATTATTATTTAGCTTTAGAAAAAAATCCATAAAGTTCAATCATTTACTTTAATTTAGGTATTTGAAATTATTAAATTTAAAGCAAATGTTTTATTTAAATTGAAGGATTATCAAGAGAGTTTACATATTTGTGATCTAGCTATATAAAGAAATTTGAAAAGTGCCTAAATTTATTCTTGCAAAGGTGAATTATAACAAATTCATAATTAGGATAAATATTTTTTATTTGGAGTTAAATGGATGAAGTTAAAAAGAATTTTGAAAATGCTTTTCTTGAACCCTCATGTTCTGATAATGAATATAGATAATTTGCTTAAATACTATTTTAAAAAAATGACCTAAAAAATGCTTTAAAATACATAGAAATAGCAATTAGTAGAAACTCAGAAAACAATGACAATTTTATGGTTTAAGGTAACTAATTCTTAAAATTTTAGCTGAAATTGTAAATTCTATTCAAAGAGAATGTTAAAGAAATGAAAATCATTAATGATATCAAAGATAAAATTATATATGATTTTTATTTTAAATTAATGGTTATTGTCTGATTTTCATTTGAGAAAACTTTAATAAAAATTATTTTAGTGTCAAAGAAGCTTTATAAAAAGTTTTAAATTTATATTATTATTAATTAATATTGTTTTAAGGAAAAAAATAAAATTTTCTAAAGAAAAAGGTAGGCTTAAAATTCTTGCACCTATATAACTATTAACTATATACCAAGTATTTAAATCAAGATTGGAAAAATTTATATTATTTATCAATTATTGTGCACTCATCTAAACCTTCTTTCTACATTTTATAGCTAATTAAAAATAATGGTAATTCTTCACAATTTTTACATCTAAACAATTTTTAACTTCCTAATCTCAAAAGCACTTACCTTTTAATTTTTATTCATGCATCAATCTTATGTGATGTAATTATTACATTCTGACATTTCCACATTTCCTTCAATCAGAAGCACATTTAAATGGTGGTTCTTAGCAAGTTTCGTTAATCCTATATTACTCTTAATCTTTGAAATTTTTTAGTAGTTATTTAATATCAAGCATCTGATATTTTTAGTGGAAATCGCTTGATGTGATAGATAATTTTTTCATTAATTTTGATAATAACAATAAGAATTAAAAAAACTTAACTCAATAAAATTTTAAGGTAATTTGACTGAAATAAGACAAAAATGTTCTTTTCAAATCAGAAACTTTCCAAAAATAGAATTAAACTAAAAAATAACTTTAATGTAATAAGATCAAAATTATTATTTTATCTTTAAATAAACCTTCTTTGTATGAATTTAAACATGATCTAATGTTTTGTGTTTATTTTCCAAGGCTAACACAAATTATAATAATTTCATCATTACTTCATCATTATTGTACTTGTGAGAGAAATAGAAGTTTCTATGGATTAATTTTTTTGATTTTGTTAATATTAAAAATTGAAAATGATTTTAAAAAAGCTTATTTTAAAGAGAAAATTAAGTCCATACTAGAAATATTTGAGGTAACTATAGTCTATTTATACTGGAAAAATAATTTTTATTTTTAAGCATCAAGAATCATAAATTTGAGAATTAGTATTGACTAATGATAAGGAATCAAAATTGCTTTACAGCAGAAAGCTTTTATAGTTAGAGCTTGATCAATTAAAATAACTACGTAAGAACAATTATTAAAATTGATNAACTATTAACTATATACCAAGTATTTAAATCAAGATTGGAAAAATTTATATTATTTATCAATTATTGTGCACTCATCTAAACCTTCTTTCTACATTTTATAGCTAATTAAAAATAATGGTAATTCTTCACAATTTTTACATCTAAACAATTTTTAACTTCCTAATCTCAAAAGCACTTACCTTTTAATTTTTATTCATGCATCAATCTTATGTGATGTAATTATTACATTCTGACATTTCCACATTTCCTTCAATCAGAAGCACATTTAAATGGTGGTTCTTAGCAAGTTTCGTTAATCCTATATTACTCTTAATCTTTGAAATTTTTTAGTAGTTATTTAATATCAAGCATCTGATATTTTTAGTGGAAATCGCTTGATGTGATAGATAATTTTTTCATTAATTTTGATAATAACAATAAGAATTAAAAAAACTTAACTCAATAAAATTTTAAGGTAATTTGACTGAAATAAGACAAAAATGTTCTTTTCAAATCAGAAACTTTCCAAAAATAGAATTAAACTAAAAAATAACTTTAATGTAATAAGATCAAAATTATTATTTTATCTTTAAATAAACCTTCTTTGTATGAATTTAAACATGATCTAATGTTTTGTGTTTATTTTCCAAGGCTAACACAAATTATAATAATTTCATCATTACTTCATCATTATTGTACTTGTGAGAGAAATAGAAGTTTCTATGGATTAATTTTTTTGATTTTGTTAATATTAAAAATTGAAAATGATTTTAAAAAAGCTTATTTTAAAGAGAAAATTAAGTCCATACTAGAAATATTTGAGGTAACTATAGTCTATTTATACTGGAAAAATAATTTTTATTTTTAAGCATCAAGAATCATAAATTTGAGAATTAGTATTGACTAATGATAAGGAATCAAAATTGCTTTACAGCAGAAAGCTTTTATAGTTAGAGCTTGATCAATTAAAATAACTACGTAAGAACAATTATTAAAATTGATAAAGGCTAAAAATTCTGAAAACAACAAATCGAAAATTCTAAATTTACAATCTGTTTTTGATTTTAGATTCTCTCCTTAAGTGAAAATAATTTAAAAAGTACTATTCTTTCTATCAACTTTATTGAGCAATTAAAGTTTAGATATATAAAAAATTATCAAAAAATGATAAACTTCCAAATTATTTTCAAATTCCAGTTTTGAATACTTAAATGAATCAACCAAAGATTTATGTTTATAAGTATTTGTGAGGATGATAATAAAAAGTATTTATATATTATGATGCACCACAAAATTTATAAATTAAGAAATTGTTGATAAATTAATAGTTCATCACCCATCGAAATTTGTTATTTCATTTATATATATATATTTTACCATATTTTAATTTACCAAAAAATTTAATTTTTTTAAAAAATTTTATTTATTTCTTCATATATTTATTGGTTATATAATATCCCTTCTTTGTTTTCATTTAATATTTTTAATAAAATGTTAATAAAAATGTTGATAATTAACTTATAGCTATTTTTGATAAAAATGAATGAATTTTTGTAATAGCTGTTCGAGAAATCTCTTTGTATTAAATAGAAGGAGAATATCATGTATATAATTTCGACGAGATACTTTATTAAAGAAGGCAAAAAAGTTTAGAATAATATAGATGTGAAAGTTTTCCTAAAGTCCAATTTGCTTAAGTTGTCAATTATTATTAAGAAATTCACAAAATAAAAGGGAAATGTAAATAAAAATAAAATAATAGAATTTAAATCAATATCATCAAATAATACTCATTCTGCTACTTTATCAAAGGATAACGAAGGGACTGTGTATGAATGGAAGAATTAAATCATTCAATAAGTTGGAGAATCAGTAAAGGTTTAACTTTTTATATAAATGTTTGAGCATTAATTTGTCTTTAGATTTTCTTATTTTGCTTGATTACTATAAAGAAAATTAATTACATATAATGCAAATAATAGATGCATAATCAAAAAGTGTTTATTAAACCTAATCTCAAGTGCCTTTTTAAACCAAAATGTAAGTAATTGTTAATGGAATAAATACCTATATAATTTATGCCTAGCATTTTAGTAAGTTTTCTATTCTTTCGCTTCTTTCCGCTTAAATTTACAACTTAAGCTGTTGGAATAATGAATTCATTGATTTTGGTACATCAATTAAAATATATCCTAATAATTATATTTTAAACTCAGATTAGGTTTTATAGTTTTCTATATCTGCGGAGTCCACTTTTTAATTATAAGCAACTTTTAAATTAGTTTACAGAACACTTCAAGCTATTATTAATGTTTATTACATTTATTAAACCTACTCATAATGTGATAGCATATTAGTATAATAATTAGAATACTAATCGTATAGACCAGATTTGATTCAATTATGGGGATGTGAAAATTAAAAAATTAGCTGGAAAGAGATGGTCCCGTATCAATCTAAGCTGATACTCTAAAACAACTAATTTATAATATAATACACCCAAGATGAAATCAGAATCTCGTCGTAATCAAGTTAGAGTTTTGAATATCAACTAAGCAGTTAAGATAATTCTTAATTATATTTTAATGCAATTTTGTATATTTTCATTTAATTAAGTATAAAATCTCATATCCTTCTTTATAAATCAACTTAACTAATTAAGAAAATGGTGGATATACTTCTAAATTTGCAATTTGTGTCAGCCAAATTCATTAAATTTTTAAATTATGCACAAAAATATCTTTTAAAAATTACCCTTTAAGTTTGTTTTAAAATGACACAAACATTTATGTAATGTTTAATTAAGATTTTCAGTAATATAATTATACTTGGAAAAGTTATGATATTGAAATTTGAGAGTTTCTCTGGATAATTATTAAACTACAAACTGAATCAAGATTAATCATTATTAAATTCTAAACAATAAACATTTAATAAGGCTTTTAAAATTAATTAGACATTGTAATTAGCCTAAATACTTTAAATTAATTAGAAGTTTAATAAAGTATAATATTTCTTTATAGGCTATAATAATCAATCGTTCGATATTTTCAATTGTGATTTCATTTATTACTATAAAAAAACTTCTAAATCATGTATGAAATTAAGTTCAATTAACATCTCTATAAAGGCATAAGCACTTAAAGTTAGCATTTATCCTGAAGTCATAATAATAGGTCTAAGTGATTATGATACAATTTATTTATTTAAATAATACTATGTTGATAGTAATGAATACTCTTAATCAAGTTTAAGTTTACAATAGAATTCTCAGATTTTATAGTCACTTATATGAACATGTTAGTCCAAATTAAACACCTAGAGATTTTATTAATGACATTAGATTTTACCAATAATTTTATTTTAAATTAAGAGTAAATATATAACCTTTTCACAAATGCTAAAACTTAATTCTACCTGTATAAATTATTATGAATACATAATTATCATCATCTTTATTATATATCAATAATATTTACAAAATCATAGTAATTTCATTATATTAAAATAACTAGCTAATACCAATTTGATTAATTCAAGTGGATTTTAAAATTATTAAAATAAATTAGGTAATAGTATCATATAGTTGTGATAATGATCATATATGCTTCTAAGTTTGGAAAGTTGAATAATTACCATAATACTATTACAAAACAAATCTATAAAGAGCAAGGTTTGAAAATGAAATCAACATATAATCTAACAATTTATTCTTTTTTGTTGCATTGAGTAATTACACTTTTTACCTTTATAACCCCTCATTACCAGAGCATATGAGTTTATTTTATATTCTAGAATTGAAATCCCCAATTTATTGTAACTATTTTCTCAAAAAAGATTATGGGTTTTGCCTACATATATTTTAATGGAAATGTAAAATTATTTTCTGAATCAAGACAAAGAACAAGTTTATGAATTTATGTTTTGGCTTATTGCTTAGAAAATATTAAGATTTTCTTATAAATTTTTCAGTTAAACTTATCAAGAAATTGTTTGAATGCATCTAGCTTTATTTTTCAAGTATTAAAATTTTGGTTTAACTTAATAAATAAAATATTTAATATACAATTAGTTAATGACAATCCTTCTATTTAGTTTTGTAAAATTCCTAAAGTACAATATACTAAAAGGTTTCCTAACCCTAAAATAGATAGATCATGAGAGTTTCTTGTAATAATAAATATTATGATTAAATAAAATTAAAATTGTACTTTTTCAAAAGGAAGACTTCCAAAAGATGTTTTTTTGGCATGAAAGGTTAAACTTCTATCCTTTCAATTAAATTCTATTTTTTTGAAGGAAGTTGAGAAAAATATTGTTCAAAACTATTGATAAACGAAGATAGCCATCACTTAATATATTTAATAAAAATAAAAAGAGAAAAATCGTTATTCAAGTTTTTAAAATTTATTTATATAAGTTCAAATCTAATTTTTTTTTTGTTCTAATTGACATTCCAAAAAGTAACTACCTTTAGATTATAATAATGATAATAAATCTACTCCTTAATAATTGACAAATTTTCCTTTTAAGATTTATGCATCATATGCTTAAAATAGTGATAATTAGGATATTCGGAGTATTGTTATCATAGAGTTTACTTGTAATATTTTAATAAATACCTCTTTATGGAAGAGTTTTGCTTTAAAATTTTGGAGTATAAAAACAGGTTTATATGTCTTTTTAGTATTTATTTGAGGGTTCAATTTATTATTGAGTTTTCACATCCCATAACCTAAGAGACAAATCTTCACTACCAAATTCAAATTCAGTACCATCAAGAGAGAAGCCGACTGATGTGACTGATTTTTCATAAGCATAAAATTTATCTTTTTATTCTCCTATCTTAATATCCCAGAGACGGATAGAGTTATCACAACTCCCAGATGCTAATATAGTTCCATCAGGTGAAAAGCATACTGAGGAGACCCATCCACTATGACCATCCAATTTTGCTTTTTATTATCCTTTTTGAACATCCCATAAAAGGATAGAATTATCATAACTACCAGATGCTAATGTATTACCATCAGGAGAGAAGGATACTGAATAGATATCGCCAGTATGACCATCCAGTTATGCTTATTATAATCCTTTATTAATATCCCATAAAAGGATAGAGTTATCATCACCACTAGATGCTAATGTTATACCATTAGGAGAGAAGCATATTGGAAGGTAAGAGGAACCACTAACCTCAAATTTTGCTTTTTATTATTTTTTCTTGGAATTCCACAAACGGATGGAGTCATCCCAACTACCAGACGCTAACGTATTACCGTCAGGAGAAAAGCATACTGAGAAAACACATTTATTATGACCATCAAATTTGTCTTTTTATTCTCCTGTCTTCACATCCCATAGACGGATAGATTTGTCACAACTACCAGAAGCTAATATAGTTCCATCAGGAGAGAAGCATACTGAGTAGACGTATCCGCTATGACCATCCAACTTAGCTATTTATTATCTTGCCTGAACATCCCATAAACGTATAGACTTATCTCCACTACCTGATGCTAATGTATTACCATCAGGAGAGAAGGAAACTGAAAGAACTTAATTAAAATGACCATCCAATTTTGCTTTTTATTATCCAGTCTTAATATCCCAAAAACAGATAGATTTATCCAGGCTACCAGATGCCAAAGTATTACCATCAGGAGAGAAGCATACCGAAAAAACTTGATTACTATGACCAACCAATTTTGTTTTTTATTATCCTGTCTTAACATCCCATAAACGAATAGACTTATCTTCACTGCCAGATGCTAATGTAATGCCATTTGGAGAAAAGCATACTGATAGAACAAAATGAGTATGGCCCTCAAATTAGGCTTTTTATTATCCTGTTTTAACATCCCATAAATGGATAAACTTATCCTTACTACCAGATGCTAATGTAGTACCATCAAGAGAGAAGCATAATGAGTGAACTCCACCATAATGGCCAGCCAATTTAGTTTTTTACTATCCACTTTCAAAATCCCATAAACGAATAAACGTATCTCCACTACCAGATGCTAATGTAGTACCATCAGGAGAGAAGCATAATGAGTGAACTCTGCCACAATGGCCATCCAAAATGGCTCTTTATTATCCAGTCCTAACATCCCATAAATATATAGAGTTATCGATACAACCAGATGCTAATGTAGTACCATTTGGAGAGAAGGATACAGAGTCAACTGCATTGTTATGGCCATTCAATTTTGCTATTTATTAACCTGTCTTAACATCCCATAAATGGATAGAGTTATCGTAACTACCAGATGCTAAGGTTGTACTATCAGGTGAAAAGCATACTGAGGAGACAGCGCTTGTATGGCCATCTAATTTGGCTAGTTTTTTTCTTCTCTTAACATTCCATAAACAAATCGATTTATCCCTACTACCAGATGCGAATGTAGTATCATCAGCAGAGAAGCATATTGACATGACTGAATTACTATGACCATTCAATATGGCTTTTTATTATCC